TGAATTTATGCCACAATGTCAAATTTATTGGTCTTTACAGCTTCAATCTTTTCAAACTCCTCAAGTTAAAAACTCAAAAAGGCCAGGAAAGAAAAAACTGAAATTAATTCCAGCTGATGAAGAAGAATCTCACATAGGACATTAAGTTGCTTAAATGTTACTGAGCATAAAATGCCATGATAAAGTGGCATCTTGCTGTGTCTCTATTACATCTTCAGCACTAAAATTAATTTATGATCAGTCGTCAATTCATTTACATGTCAATTTATGCTAAATCCTTCCTTGCTGACAAATGCTACCCTCGGATCCATTAAGCTGGAGTAAAGTCTGTGCTCTCTTATATGACCCTGCTAATTGTTGCATTACCATTTTTATGAGCTACAAAAACTTATGGCCCCCCATTTTTTTAGCCAATATTTAATCCAGGAACTCTATTAGATAGCACGGCTTGTCTAACTACTAGCTAAGTCAAATCTTCTGCTATAATTGTCGTTGATCAAATCATTCCAAATATTGACCTTTTCTAGATGTAGGCAAAAATGGAAAAAATGTGGCAAATGCTTCTGATACTCCAAAGATTTGGATATGTAACAAATATACCACTTCTTCAGGTATGTGAAAGTTTGTGTGTTTGTGTGTGTATGTGTGTCTATCTGTCTGTATCTGTGTATGTGTGTGTGTGTGTGTGTGTGTCTATGTGTGTGTGTGTGTGTGTGTGTGTGTGTGACATGTGGGAAAACCAAAGGAAGAAATTAGAGAGCATTTTCCTTACTTTGCATGACATCTGTTAACTTGTTTCACTCAGATAAAAATCATACATATAACGTCCATCCATTCATCTGTCAAATTTTGGCATCTAATTTGTCTTAAAGGTCCTAATGCTGTTGAAGTAGCTTAAGGCAATAAATTTGTCACTTGTAGGGTCTATCAGAAATGATTCTTTGTATTAAAATTTTTTAAAGAAGTTTTGTAGCAGAGGGAAGACCACAGGTGAGATATTTTATTGGCCAACTTTCTAAATACCCTGTGAGGAAGAATGGAGATGGAGATTGTCAAATGGTTTGTTTTCACACTGTTCTGGTGAATGAGTTCTAGAAAACAAATTAAAGTTTCCCAAAATAAGAAAAGAAAGTAGTGCCAGAATTTCCATTTAGCCACTATGTGCTGTGGGCCCACCTTTCAAGGCAATCTCTACTTCAATCAACAGAACTCATTATCGACCTTAATTCTGCCAACAGGCAGTTCAAACATCAACTATCTGTTAAGGACACCATTTTTCAATCCCTCTCTGCCCTCTCCTTCTACAATTTTCTTTTCATGGTGGTGTTAAATTCAGGAAATGTCTTCTACCTCGTGAATTGAGAAGTAAATGCCAAATTCTGTCTCTTCCACTCTGAGATGATGGTTGACGTTTAGGTGGATATCTTACTAGCTTATTTCTGAAAATGGAAGCTTTTTGTTGTTTCTTTCCCAAGGCACAACAAGAGCACCCCGCAACACTAAAACTATTTTTGTGCTTTGTGGCAATCAAAAAGATGTGCAGGATAAGTTAGATGCCCAGTTTACAAAAAAAAAAAAAAAAAAATAACTCCTTTAAAAAATGCTGACAAAATTTGACAGTTCACTGTAAGTGAATGTAGAACCAAATATGAGAAATATAAATGTCACATCTGAAAACCCTGATCACAGTCATGTAAGTACAGGGTTAGAATTAATGTGTCCATATGACGTTATGTGATTTTTTTTTAGAAACAGTTATATATCCATTTATATGTACATACAGAAGAGATAAACCTCATGTTGGGTAACAAACCAGCCATCATTTTTATATTTAAAAAAATAAGTCCAGAGATAAATGTTAGACATTACCAGAGCCAGGATTACAGCCATTTTAATTAGCATAAAACTGATTTTTGTATATATTTTTTAACCACTTGAGGTAATCGAGTGTCTGTGACCTGCTTTCCTAATCTTGACCTGATGTTTATATCTATAATATTATAGCATCAGAAATCAGACTATTGGTGGTTAAATGAACTATAACCTTGAGTAAACCCTAAGAATGAGGGGCAGGACACATTTGCTGGGTTCCAGGTAGTCAGTACTTTAGACTTCAAAATCTCAGTCCTGCATTCTTTTTGTGTCTTTGGGGTTCTTTTGTTCCTCTGAGAATTCTTTTTATTTCCCTTATCTTTTGTTTATATTTTCTTTCCTTGCTATGCTTTTAAAATGTGAGAAACCAGTTGGGGTATGGTAATGCATGCCTTTAATTCTAGCACGCGGAAGCCATCCTGGTCTGTATAGTATCCTCCAATACAGCAGGACTACATAGTAAAAACCGCTCTCCAAAAGAAAAAAAAAGTTATAAAATTATCCTTAAATCTCTGGGCCATCCAAATGGCAGCCACAACTGCTCTCAGAAGAATGGCTTGTTATCATTATTATTATTTAATCAAAATTCCTAATCTAGTGATTATCAGTGAGGGATATAGAATAAATGTTTGTTTTGGAAATAATTCTATAAAGCAATAGATTTGTTAACATATGCTTTTTGCCGCTAAGCTAATATAATTTGGAACCATCGATAACTTCTTTTCCTGTCTCTTTTCTTAAATGAATGTTCATTTCAGAATTTAAGGAACTCCACAGATTGTTTTCGTTGTCTTGAATATATTCTGAATTAATGTGCTTCTTTACAGAGAAGTGTTCTGTTATTATAATAATTTTATTTATTTGCTTTTACAGGTGTTTTGTCGGAATGTATGTCTCTGCATCATTTGGGTGTAGTACTTGCACTGGGAAGAGGGGTATCATGATTAATATATACGTGTACCTCAGGTCAAAGCCCCAGAATGCATGTATGTTTGCAGCCTCCTTGCATGCATGCCTTCTGTCAGTTTACAAATCTACACATGTACACTCCCTGTACACACCCACATATTCTTTCCATATACACTCACTCAATTTGTACACTCATGTAAATTTATGTACTTGCATTCTCTATATCCATGATTACGTACATTCTAATGTGTGCCCTCCCTCTATATATTTACTCACACTCCCTGTGTATGTGTATTCTCTACATGACCCATATACTCTTCATGTGCACTCATAATCTAATCTACATTCACACTCGTTCCATCCTCTCATACTCAACAAATAAGCACTCTGTTATGCTTATATACAACTTTTGTCACATACACACACAGCCTAGAAGGTAAATTAGACCACTGATTAAACTTTCTCCTCTGAGTTTCTGGTAGAAGAAAGGAGAAAACAATGGAAGCTCTTGTTTAGGGAGTGTAGTGAAAGATACAAGGTAACTTAAGAGATGTACTTTCATGGGACACATTATGGAGGAATACAAACCTATATGGCCTGAGGAATTTTTTATGTAGGGCAAGAATTAAGTAGGGAATTCAAGGAGAAACTTTGTTTTCTTAGCAATTTCATTTGGCATGAACATAGAATTAGAGAAGTGTACACTGCCCTCACAAAAGACTCCCTAACTATCTCCTTTCAGTTGAGTATGTAAAGGGCAAAATGGGGTTCTGCTAACTTAGAGATGTACATATTGTCTCTGAAATTATAATATTTAATAATATCTTCAGAGCCTATGGCTGACTTTTGCCATTATTCCTGGAACTTGCATTGCATTCTTAATGAGAAACAGTTTCGTATTACTAGTGAAGTATGCAAAGATATTCAGAGTTTGCCCTAAAGTAGATTATGCTAGAAATCCAGGCAGAGGCTTAACATAATAGTGTAATAATAAGTCAACTCCACAGCATTCAAATCTTTAACTTTTGCTCTGTCACCGTCGGTTGGATCTATGTTCTAATCCCAGGAATATATCTGTGTTTTTAAAATCTTAATCAGCTTCATAAGGAGTTCAGCCTTCAGGCAAAAAGATGAACTGAAAATTAGATCCATGCTTCAGATGCTGAGAAACATAAAAAGAAAGGCAGAGGTTCCTATGTGTCCTCTGTACTATTATACCATGGCCCACCAGTGTTTGTAAATCTATTGAGAAGCCCCAGTTCTGCAGAGATTGGAAGCTATTGGAGTCCAAGGAATCCAGGGATACTGATAAAAGTCATTTGGGGCTGAAAGGAATCATTCAAATGAACATAGACATAGGTGGTCTGAGGTGACCCAAGTGAATGCAGAGATCAGGTTTACGTTTGGAGTAGCTATGTCTTCATTATTTAGGAAGGGACATGTTTGTGAGTCAAGGGGCAGATAATTCAGGGAGAGAAAGACTGAAGTTTGGCTCTTGCCACTTCCTTTGTGTATATGCAGCATTTCAACTGGACCATTTTGAAATCATTGGAAATAGGCTGTTTGTCAGGCCTAGAGTCATCAGAGGCATGCACCGACTGAAGTCTTTGCTTATCGAACAAGAAAAATTGGGAGGGAAGCCTAAGCAATAAACAATCAGAACAATTACACTTCCTGGCAGAGGACGGGTGATTAGATTCAGCAGTGTGAAATGCATAAATGTATTGCTTATCTGGCTATGCATGTTTCCACTCCAGAAATAATACCACGTGCAACCTAAGAGACGCTCATTCTGAAGACTTGCTTATTTTCAACAGTCAATGATTTTACAGAGTGAAATATCAAGAAGCATTTTAAGATCTCATTCACTTTGTATGTTGCTCCCGATATACAAATTATATCATTTCTAAAAGTAAAGGTTTTTCATATAATAGACTTGGTTCCCCAGCAGAGTGAACTTCTCATGAAAGCCTTGGATATAATTGAGTTTTCTTTCATGTCTTTAAAGCTTTTTAAAATTCATGAATTTCCTTATCATTTTAGCAGCAAAGCAAAAGTATTTCTAAATCCTTTTTGAATTTGGTGTTTAACATTAACATATTTAAAATGTTACAAAAATAGATGGAGTTGAATAAATCTTACATAAGGCAGCATTTGATTTGTGATACATTTTAATATAGCAAATAGGTCACTTATTCCCATTCTATCAGTTTTGTTACCTGTCACAGAGCTGTCTAGATTGTCCATACTGGATCCAGGTGTCTGGTCTAGTGCTCTGAGGGGCCTGGGGATGTCTAATGGTTCCTCTTCATCATCAGCATCCTCATCTGGAACATCTGTTTCCAAATCAGAAATCAAGGCTCCAGACACGTAACCTATTGGTGGGACTGGGGGCTGTGGAGGTGGAGTATTGCTTTGAATGTGCCTGGGATTTAAATGGAAAGAAACAGAAGACGAGAGGCAATTCATTACCATTCTACAAAATTATAACTCATGGTCAATGGCATGGTATGCTAACCCTTACTGTCTTCCATGTTTACTAATTCATATCACATTCTTTATGTTAGCAGAGATACTGTGTTATGACTACAAGCTTTACTAAACAGCAGCCACATAAACTACAAAAGCTCTTGTTTAGATGTTTATAAGGTGATACACAGAGATAAAAATATATACTGAACACTCTTGTATCGATAAATTATTCCAAAGAGAATATAAATATTTATCATAAATCATTTTTACACCCCCCCCCGACCTATAACCATTGGTACTTGGTTTCACAGTTACTCTTGAAGTTTAACTCATTAGTTTTAACCTATGAAGCATGTTTGAAGAAAGTTTGTCAGGTGGGGGCCTGATCACCCAGCCCTGCCTCTGGCACACTTCCCGCCCTATGAAGATTGGTTTTGGGATGATTCCCATCACATCAGGCTGAACAGCTGTTCCATTATCCCAGTGTAGATTAGACACAAATACTTTGTGCTCTCTAGATATTTGCAATGTATCACAAGAACCAAATCTTAAAGGGGGTTGGTATTTATAACATAAGGCGTGTTCAATAACTTCTTAGTAATGAGTAAATAAATGTAATCCCAACATTACAAAATTAACAGAAAATGCACGGCCATTTGTTTATTAGAAAATATTTAAAGAAAGCCCGAGTGACTTGGCTTTCATTTTATGACTAACAAAAATGTGAATCTGGACTCTGCCGGGCACTTGCTGTGTTGTGAGACTATTAAATAATTCTTTCTAACTTATAAAATGCTCAGTTTGAGGTAACTCACACTATTTGCAAGTGTCAACAAAGAGTGGATGTGTTCTATGTCTGAATATTTTTTTCTTGTCTTCTTACAGAAGTATTCAAAAGGCCCCTCCCATGTAAGAGTCATCACAACTAAGTAGAATGCATTTTTGTCACTGGCTTTTAAAAAGGCGAAGAGTTATTTTTGCTCTCATTTTAGTCTTTTGAGAAGATGTTTCCTGTTCTAAAATTTGCTTAATATGCATCTGCGATTTTCATCTGTGAATTTATAAACTAACTGTATTCTATATCCTTCAATGGTAAAACCCCAAGAATGTTAGTTCTGGACATCACTTCTGTGTAACCAGATTTAATCGCTATTGGTATGTAGCAGGTGTTTCAGGCAGTGTGCAACCCCTTGGCACACATCACAACCCAGTAATCTATAGTGAGGAAAGAAAAGCAAGTTTTACTAAGCTCACTTAGACTGAATATTGTGCGTTGACAAGCCCACATTGCTATACGTGTGTCGTCACATTCAGTTTGTAAGGAGGAGAGGGAGTTACATGACAAACAGGAGGACATCAAGCAGTATGACATATGTGGTCCATTTCACTGCAGTGTTATAGATTTCAAGGTGGGTGAGGACAGAACAGACCAACAATGTAATTCTATATAGCTGTTGGCATGTGTTGATGGGAAAAATTAAAAAGAGATGAAAATGTAATCAATAATTTAAACAGAATTAGAGGTTAATCTGAAATATGAGATTATGGCATGCAAGATTTATAACTATCTTCTAGTAATAGGAAGTGTTTTGTACATTTCATCAGTCAGTATGAGTAGCATCCCCGGAGGTACAGCTGGAATCCTTTATCTTTAGAGTTCTGTGAATGTGAGGTGTAATCTTAAACAGGAAGCTCTTTCAAACCACAAGAGCAAACAGGCATTTTTTGGGGGTAAAGGATGAATTCCTACCCTTCTGTAAATGTTAACTGTGGTATTCAGAATACTGGTAGATTGTGTAAGACCATTCTCAAGGTGAACATTCTCAAGAAACAAGGTCCAGTGTATACGATGATTGAAGATATGGAAAGAACACAGTTCATTCACCCATTTGGGATATACTTATGAAGCAATTACTCAATGGGGAATTTTAGGTGTGAAAAGATATCAGTAACCAACTAGGGTAAAAGTCCTATGCCTTCTAATCATTAGAAATTAAAATATAGACAGGTTAAGGAACATAAGAAGTGCAAGCACATTGAAATCTTAAAAAAAAAAAATAAAGCATACTAGATAGCTTCACCTTAACGTAAAAATGTTGTTTAAAACTAGAGGTAGTCTCAACTCTGATAGTATATTTTTTCTGGTATAAGTGCCGGTTGACTTGGAAACCATGGTTTGCAAACTATTTAACAGGACAAGTTATCATAGAGCTTCTAGTCACAAAGTAACAACTCCATCTCTCAGTGGGCTGACTACTGAGGTCAGTCATGAAAGTAGTCAACTTTATTTAATAGACCTTATTTTCAGCTCTTCTCCCATGTACCGTGGGTTGGTAATACTTCTTACATTGTGCTAATGCTGGGTAAACAGAGCTACCTGAAACTCCAATGGGGGATCTCTGCCTTTGGAATTCTTCAGAATTTTGCACCACATCTCTTCCCTTGGTTTATATTAATCCATTGTGTTTTATGAGAATAATCTGTAACTTTGATTATAGAAGATCCAGTGAATTCTTTAAACTCATTTGGCATGTTCTAAAACATCGGAGTGATCCGGCAACTCTATAATATACCTAGCCGTAATTTAGGGTACTGTTGGGAAGGTCTCTTTAAAATTCATATGGAAGCTAGTAATTATCATTATTATCATTGTACACACGGGGGAAGTATACATATATATGACAAATTTCTCCAGGTCATACATCTGATCAGACCCATCTATCTTCATGGAGGTGAACCTAACTTTGCCCCTCCTTTATGGAAACCCGTACTAAGCAATAAAATTCCACTTGGAGGTAATCTCTAGGTATTATTGTATATTACATTTGTCCACGTGATTCTAATATGAATCAGAGTTGTGTTTAAAGCATAAGTGACACGTAGCATGACTTAATGAGGAAAATAAGAAAATCCCATGTCTCTTCACACAATTGTTTTATTAGTTGTATTTCTACAAAGGAACTTTATGTGAAAAATTATTGCTTATGAAGAAGCATGTTTGACTATGGAGTATATATTTGTTGATTGTGAAAAAAAATAAGTGGCTCTACTCCTCTGCAAAGAACATGTTTGGGACAGCATGTAATGTTTTCCCCTATTTGGTATCTTGGATATATTTTATTAAGAAGCAGTGCATAAATACCAAAAATGACGAATAGTTCATCGTGAATACATCTCAGAGAGTAGAACTAGCCAAAAAGGGAAAGTCTTTCATTTGACTTCAAGTATGGTGTAAATTAACAAGAGATACTTTTTGATAGGTCATATATACTGACAAGTAAATCACTGTTAAAATATTAAATTCTCTAAAAACCACGACGTTTGATCCTATTTCTATTTCTACCATATTTTCACAGAACACCTAACAGTCTTATAGCTGCAATTTGTGAATTTTCAGTCTTATTACAAAAATATCTTAATGTGTTCTTGAGTTTCTGTTGAGGCATTTATTGTCATTATTTTTTTTTATTTTCTAATCCACTTAATTCAGTCCAAACAGGGTCTTTTAATAACTGACACTGTCCATAGTAATTTTCAGAAGCATGCATTTACATATTCACAACCACATATAGAATTAATCACAGGCACTTTAAAGAATTTAAAAGGAGTCCTTTATTGTGGCATTAAAAGCAAGTTCAAGGATAAACTAATTGGAGCTGGTTTGTGAATGGGAAAGGATTCTGGCGTTGCCAAAAGCACTTCAGTCTGAATCCCTGCTTCATTCGCTTCTCTAACCAGCTTTGTAATGTTGGTCAGGATATTTAAATTTCTGTCACCAGTTTCGTTATATAGGCTGCTAACACATATTCTAAACTGTTGTTCATCCCACCCACACATATTTATGAGCATCTCTGCTTAATATACATCCAAGAACATTTACATATGTAGAAAGTATAGGGCCTGTGGCTCACTGAGGATATTTACCATGTTTGTTTTGCTATATCAAACTGATAGGCCCTTGTTAACTCATCCAAGTGAGCTTGCAGCATGGGTTGCATCTCTTCCCTTGGGGATGGAGTAAGAGTGGCAGTGGACTGCTGTCCAAAGGAGATAGCAGGAGAAGAGGCCACACCACGCACAGGAGGTGTTGGGACCCTATCATCGTCTTCTTCCAGTTCATCTTCCATACCCTGGTGCAAGTATGTTTGCACTGGTAATGGTGGGCACCAGCTGTCACTGTCATAGCTGAAATTAAATAAGAAAATATGTTCACTGACACATACACACACATAATTGCACAATTATACTAGCAATACATAACAACCAAATGGTGTCTAAAAGGTTTCCAAAGTCTATGTCTTCCTTATCACATCATCGAGGCTAACATAGTAAATAATCTTATATATCTATTTTTTCAAAATATCTCAACTTATTATTGAAAGACCTTCTTAGCTAATTACTACCACACAGCTATAAATAGCAATAACTTTCCTCCAATGTTAATCATGTGAAAATACCAAATTACTAATTGAAGACATTAATGAAGCCAATGCTTGGAGATGTATCCACTCCCTTTTCTTGTGTATCCTTGTGCAAAACCAAAATGTTCCAAAAATGCTAATTGATCATCTAACATATGTGGAGGAATTTTATTTACTCTTCTAGACGTATGGAAATTTTTTATTCCATATAATATACCTTTCATCAAATCATGATGATGAAATAATAAAGCATAATTGATGAAATCATCAATAATCATCAAAAATTTCATGATGTTTATCAATAGAAACTCACATTACCTTATCTCAAAAGTTCCAAATGTCTTGTTTTCAAGAAGTAATTATCTAATTTCAGTAAAATTAATTGGCACAACATCCATCCTTTAATACATTTTTGATTTATAAAATTTATTTTGAAAATGTGGAGAGCATATCAAAATGATTTTATAAGGCACGCTGAATCAAGAATATAGGATATTAGTATAGTAAATTCTAAATAAATAACAGTTCTATTCACACCAACTCCATAGTTCTAGCATTTCACCAAACAAATAAATACTAAGATATTTAAAGAAAAGACTTTTCAAAAGTTGTTCTTCCAAAAATGCTAAATCAGTAATGATAGTTTAGATGGGAGAGAGACTCATGGAACCATGCTTGGCACAGGGGAGCTGTGGCTGCTAGGAGACAGGAAGTTACTGTCTTCTGTGATGTAGCCACTGGGGAGTGAATCATGTACCAGTGGAAAGAGTCATCCCATGCCCGTGTTAATAATTCTGGTTAAACCCAGTGGGTCACAAAGTAAAAATCAAACAGAAAGACATGTGGATAAGAACAGCCTCTATAGACTCATAGATTTGAATGCTTGATCACCAGGTAATGGCACTATTAGGTGGTGTGGCTTTGCTGGAAGAAGTGTGTCACTTTAGGTGGGCTTTGAGGTATCAAAATGCTATCATCAGACCCAGTCTCTCTCTTCCTTCCAATCTGGATATAGAATTCTGAGATACTTCTCTAATACCATGTATGCCTGCTTAGCATCATGCTTCCCACCATGCTGATAACTAAACATCTGAACTGGAAGCCAGCCCCAATTCAATGCATTCCTACATAAGAGTTGCTGGGATCATAATGTCTCTTCACGGCAATACAACATCGTCTAAGACAACATGGAAGAAGTGGGGTAGAGCCTTGTAAGAGGAAGGGAGGACGTTGGTAGGGATATCAGGAAGATAGGAGGATGGAAGAATGCCTCTGCCTAGTAGAATCAGCGGATGTGACTAATAAGTACCTGAGAGTGCTATAGGAATAGATACCTGGAGAACTCAAACTGTCTGGGGACTGTCAAAGCTCTGTTGGCCAATAGCAACAGGAATATGTTAAGTTACATATGTGCAATCCCAGAGGTAGGTACTGGAGAACTCAGTTTCCAAAGGAGATAAAGAGAGAAATTTATTGGCCATAAGTGAGGAGAAGAAGGAATATGCCGGTTACATAGGACCTCATCACTTGTAGGGAGTTTGGAATTCCAGTCTCTCTGGTTCTCTAAAATCTTATGTCCACAAGCCAAAAAATCTTCACTCAAAGTTAATTTTACCTTTGAGTTCTTTGTTTCTGTATCTATGGTCACTTGCTTTTGCCTTGCTGAGGCTACATCAATACCCTTCTGCTTCTGTGAGCATAAAGCTGAAAGCTCGCTTCAGGAGCACTGTACGGTTTGGAAGGGATGGCTGTCTCTACATGTCTTTTCTACTGTTGTCATCAGCAGACAAATTTCAGTGTGTTATCTCTCCAAGAAAATGCGATGGGCTAAATCTGAATTCCTACTTACTAACTATATAACATGTGCCAATCTGTACTGAAAAAAAAATACATTTTTCTAGCACATTGTCATTTTATTTTGTTTTATGGAGATTTGATGGTTTTCATTTGAAGAGAGAGTTCTATTGTTCTAAAGTCTGTAACTAGCATCCTTTGTTGTATTTAATGCTTTAAGGTTTTCAAATCCAATCAATCCTACTGACTGTTTACAGTTTTATCTATGAAGACATCAGAACAGTATAAGAGAACCATTTACTTCTCTTCATTCTATTATGTTCATTTAACATAGTTAAGCTTCAATGTATTTTCTAGATGGAGTACACAGTTTGTCAGCAGGAATCTCATGCTGAAACTAAATGGCTTTGTTTCCTTTCTCCTTTACAATTGTGAGGCCTGGTACAAGCTGTAGAAACAAATTTATTTCAAAATATGTATTTATTATGTATAAATTTATTTCAAATAAAAAAAGCCTGGAGAGTTTTCCTCTCCAGGTTCTCTATTCTAATCTTATATGTCTTTAAGTTAAATTCTAAATCACATATCTTTTGTAAAACGTACTGACAGAACTCACTAGTGCTGGAATACTATATTATATAATTGCTACTGGCAATCTTACTGAACATTGATTTGAAAATGGATTTTAGATTTCCAATGTAGATCCTTTTACTTGTTCAGTTTAATATTTAGCTTTTCATATGTTTATAGTATCCTTACTTCGAGGAAATTTAGCTCTCTTATAGCTGGCGAAAATCATATTTATTGACATGCAAAAATTTTATTAAAATAAAGCTTAAATTTTTGTACATGACTTATTTGAGTTTGAGAGCTACAGTATTGAGGTTAAGAAATACATATTTAGAACCTAATAAAATAATTGCTCATTTCCAGTATAGAACATGATTGCTGTTAGCCTTTACCAATAGTTAAAGTCAACTTTACCCTGAAAAGTTTGTTCAAGAAAATCACATTTTTAGGAGAAATTAATAGTTGTATTTTTAATATTTACACTGGCATGTTTCCAAAGCTATTATATGAAGTACTATATAGTTAATATTTCAAATAGGCATAGCCCATTAGTACAAAAAGTATTCCTACTTGTTGAATAATAGATAATTCTTTGGACAGTCTAAATGACATGGACATTTAGAATATAGCATGAGTAGGATAAGAGAGATAAGCATGTGCTATATGCATCATTTGTAATGGTAAGGTGAAAGCATTAGACTAAATTAAACTTGATTCATTTTTGTTATTCAAATTAATACTGAGCAAAGGAGAGGTTATTTAAAAACTTTGATATCATGAAAGAAAGGTAATACTAGGCAAATAAATAATATGGTGTGCTAAGTTACTAAAATCAATTTTATTAAACTTTTATTAAATTAGGATGGATACTATCATCAATACTCCCCAGGATTCTCAGCAAAGATAATTGGAACTACAATGAATAAACTTGATCACCCTTCCAGGACAAGGAAGGCTGAAAAAAGTTCATGTATTCAATGTGGTTTCTACTAATAATAGAAAAAATTAAAAATGGGGAAAATGTTATCCAAAAGAGGCTAACAAGAATAAATAAAGGAAGTCAAGTCAGGATGTAGTTCATATCATGTAGAGAACTGCTCATCACCTCCCTGGGATTCACTTCTGAATTCACTCCAGAGGGCTAACTAGAAAGGTTTAGTGCAGCCACCCAGGAAAGAAAAGAAGGTAGCAGATGACTGTATATTTCATACATCCAGCTCCGTTTAATGGTTCCCTTCACATTTTATAAGATTCACTTGCTTCAGGTGGATACTGTTTGTAATGTTCTAACAAAGTGGCCCATATGAAAAGAAACGGGGATGAAAGTAAGGCAGTGACAGTGGGCATGAGGAGGAAGGAGAGTCAGTAGTGAGTTCCGGCTGCGATTAACAATAATGGAGAAATTACAGTCTCTAGTTACTAATTGCAATTTGTACTTTTGCACATTTTATTTAAGCATTACACTTTTGATGTCTTATGCAGTAACCTACAAAGTCTACAAAAAAATTACTCCCACGAGGCAACCAAAGCTCTTTTGCCCAACCTTTCAAAGGCAAGTCCTTGTTCACTGACATTCTAATAGCCAAGTATGAGGCATCCTATTATCTGTCTTTCCTGATGAGTAATGATCAAGATGACAGCAAATCAATGCTGCATGTGAACTAACTTATTAAAGGCCAGATACAAATACCAAATTACTAATAAAAATACAATAACATTCAACTCCAGCAGAAGCTTGCCAATCTCTAATTGCAAGAACAAAGCAAAGCGCCTATTTAATTACTATTGAATTCTTCCAAGCAGCCTATGACTATAATAAATGTATAGCAGTCAGATCTAGGCCCTAATACATTTAACACATTGCCCTTTTCAAACAGAAGAAGCATATTAAGATGGGAAAACATTTGCACCATGGCTACAAGATTGAATTAACATTCAAGTATCATTTCATTTGAACAATGATTGAATAACTTCTGTTATTGTGTACTGTGAAGAAAGAAAATGCCCATGAAAGACTTAGAAGAAAAACAAAAGCCTATACTCTCATGAAACAATACTACTAACCACAATTAGAAAATACATTAGTAATGTATTTTCAACATTATTGCTAATCCCAGTCAGGATGCCCTACTGACTCTGTCCTTCTTCCTCATGCCCACTGTCACTGCCTTGCTTTCGTCCCTTTTCCAATACATATTGGCCATTTTGTTTGGAACATTCCAGACATTATCCACCTGAACCAAGGTTCTTCTTATCTAGTCTGTTATCAGTAGCAAAATAGCTGAATTCGTCTATGACATACAAAGATTCATAATTAACATCAAGGCACCATCTCAGATGTTCAGAGGCTTAAAGCTGAGCTCTCGCTTATATCTTCTGGGAGAGGGAGAATCAGTTTTCTCCAATAGAGTGACACTGGGTGTATCAGCCACTCAGGACAGGCCTCATATTCAGAAGTTCACCAACATGTAACAGACTTCATGTTTGTTCTTTTTTTTTTGAATATGTGTGCCATATTTATTTGTTTGTTTAAAGTTTCTCTATTTTGTTGTCTTTCTTTTTGAGTGTGATTTTATTTTTTCTATGTTTTGGGGGTTGTTTTACTTGATTTTATTTATTTTTTGAGAAAAAACTTAAATGTGGGTGGGTAGGGAGGAAAAGGGTGTGTAAGGACTTGGGGAAGGGAAAATATGATAAAATTATATTTAAATTTAAAAGTTGTTTTAAATAAGTATATTTATCATAAAATATCAACATTGACCATCTTCATGCAGCATGTACAAGTTGCTGAAACATATGTCTCAGTAATTAAATGCAATCTAGGGATCAACAGGACAGAGAGGCAAGTTCAGGCAATGATGGAAGTAGAAGAAAGGGAAATCATCACAACTAGAATAAGGTGCAAAGGAAGATTGATGGGAATCTTTTCAATTTTTCTCATTTACCAAAGAAAGGTTCCTCTATTACGTATCAAGTAATATCACTGCTTGTATTTTGTTTTACTGTTTGGCTAACAGTCTACTCTGATTCAAAATTCCCTCTAGATTGAATACTTTCTTCAGGTGATTTTTCATTAGCTTTGACTCTGGGCACAGATTCTGATAGCCAACCAGTTTGGGGTACTATCATTTATAAATAAATGATTCAAAATTCACTCAAGACTCCACTGATATAAGTACTCCTTTAGTTTACCTGCTTACTTCTTATTATTTTATTTCCATTGTTAATCTATAATTTTAATGGAAAATAAATTTTCTCTCGTTCTCTTGTGTGTGTGTACATATGTGTTTATATTTGTATGAGATAAGGAAAGTCATGGGGGAGTGAGAAGAAGAAAGGAGAACATGTTCATGTGTGCTCAACGAATACAGTGTCTTCGGACCATAATTACATCTTTCCTATTAACAGTGCAGATCTCCCTACATATTTTTTCTGTTCATCTGTTCTTATTGCTTCTCTTCCTAGAACTGGGCCTAGCATTTAGGATACATCTTTAAAAAATGCTGACAAACATCTTTATTGTTGTCTGTTGCAAATTGCTGTAGGAATTTCTACAGCCTTTAAGTTACCTGTCCACTTTGGCGTGGCCTCTTATGTTACATATGCCCATAGCAAGCATGTATCAGGCCTCTTCCAGCTGTGTGATTCGATTCCTGTTCCTCGTTTGTGCAGAGGATTGTGATCTATGACTCTACCCTTAAATAAATAACCCTTTATTATACTTAATTCTGAGCTAGTGTGGAATTTCTTTTTAGCATCCTTCTTCAGTAAATGGCAATTAAAAAAATAGAAAAACTAATTTTACTGTAGGATTACTGGCTGGCTTTTACTTCTTTAAAAAAAACTAGTTTTTTTGTTTGTTTGTTTTTTTAATAAGAAAAGTAAGGTGTTTTGTTCTTTGTCTTTGAGAGGGAGGTCTCGTATATTTCAGGCTGGCATCAATTGGACTAAGTAGCTATAGAGCTGATGATGACCTTCAGATTCCAATCTTAAGCACTCTACCTCCTGAGAGCTGGAGGATATAGTTTTCCATTCCTGGTTTCATGAATCGTGGGTAAGGTTTCTCTAACTGAGATGCATTCCCATGCCTAAAATAGTTCTCTTTTCCACTAGCAGTTTCTCAGCACTTAAGGCAAATAAGAACTCAAGAGTAAGATGAACTAATGATGAATATCTTAAATGTCACCATAGAACATTCATTCAACAACTTGATGGAAACAGAGGCAGAGACCCGCAGCAGAGGACTGGGCTGAGCTCCCAAAGTCCAGCTGAAGAGTGGGAAGACTGAGAAATGAACAAAGAGGTCAAGATCATGATGAGGACACCCACCAAAACAGTTTACCTGAGCTAATGGGAGCTCACCAACTTTAGCCATACAAGGAAGGAACCAGCATAGGCCCAAACTAGTCCCTCTGAATGTGGGTGACAGTTGCATGTCTGGGGCAGACTGTGGGGCTACTGTCAATGGCACCAGGGTTTATCCCTACTGCTTGTATTGGCTTTTTTGGGAAACTATTCTGTTTGGATAGATACCTTACTCAACCTAGACAGGGTAGGGAGGGCCTTTGATCTTCCCCAAAGCAACGTACCTTACCCACTCTAAGAAGTGGATGAGGGTAGGGTGTAAGGTAGATAGAATGGGTGGAGGGGAGGCAGTGGGAACTGGGATTGACATGTAAAATAAGAAATGATTGTTTTCTTTTTTCAAATAAAAAGAAATTATAAAAAATTATATAGCACAATCACATTTTATGCACATTGGCATGTATATGTTGAGAACATTCATTTTAATTATCTATAATAATAAATTAATACATTGGAAATTTAAAAATCATATAATGAATTTTGAGTAAATTTTAAAATAAACTATGATCACTAAATAGATTAAAATGACCTGTCATATCAATATTTGAAAAGAATTTCAAATATTGTAAGAACATAAAAGTATACTAACATAATAGTTTCATCACCAAAAGAAATACTTCTAGTTTTTCCACTGTTTAGTAAGGTCATGTGGTAAGTTTCACAATATTTAGATTAAATTAATTTTCTTTCAGAGTATAAGGAGCATCATTATGTCAAATTAATATTTTAAGGAGATTTGTTGCTAAAAAAGAAGGATATCTAAATAACCTGCAATTTTCATGTGATCCAGATGTTATTCTTAAAAAGCATTAACATTCTTTTCTCTTCCCATTTAAGTTATTAGTTTCCTTTCCATATTTTCTGGCTACAATCTTAAAATACAAACTATTAAGTAATAATCCTTTGATGAAGTGTGTACCTCTTGTTCTTCATGAGTTACTGACATATTACACCACTGGCGTGAATTAAGATCATATTCACAATTTAATTTTTAGGCCAGCAAAAGAAAGGGTGTGCTCACCAGGAGAAGAAAGGGTGGGCTCTTGACTGCTAATTTCAAACGGAAACATTGATTTAGTTAAGTAATCATTGTTTGCATATATATGGGCACTATTTCCCAGAAAAACAAATGAAATCTATTTGAGAGATAGAAAGATGGAGAAAAGATGTGTGTGTATAAGTATGAGTATGTTATATACTTATCATATGCTATATTATGTATATATATGTGTGTGTATGTATATGCATACTATATATGTGTATGCAAGATGGCATTTACTAAAAAAGAGATATATGCAAAATTTATAAGCAAATGCAAATATTTACATGATTTGAACAAATATAAGCCATACTCCACTATACAATTAAATTTTATTTAGTACGTAAATACTTCTGTGTAAAACAAAATTTATGTATGGAAAATCCATATACTCTGTATTCTTGGATTGCATACAAGCCTTGTTAAAATACTGACTTGCAAACTGAAAGCAAGACAAAGCTTTTAGAAATATTAATTTAGATAAAATATTTCATTTAATTTTTTGTAATAAAAACGATTATCTACGCTTTTTTGTGTTTCGAATCACTCCCTAATCAAACTAACAGGAAACCAACTCATGAGATACTAGGGAATAAATAGAGAACCATCACATTTAAGGCCCATCAAAAAAATTATCTGACTTTAAGATTTTGTTAAAGAGTGTCCATTGACATGAATCCCTTATTATTACTATCCCTAAATTCCCTTCAGAGCTGGTGATTAAAGTTCTACCCAGTGGTCAAGTTCCCACAATTATCCCATTGTGATGGTTCTCTACTGGTGGCGCCCTGCTATAGCCAGACATGGAGTCATTAGGGAGCGGCAAGGGATGATGAAGAAGGTTATTTTAATTCCCTTTCAGCCCCTCTCAGGAGTGCCTCTTTAGTTCACAGAGCTGTGAGTACTTGCTTTCAAACTAACGAGCAATATTATAAATGGAGGCTGATTATCGTGATTGCAGACAATCTAAAGCACTTGAAGGCCAAGGATTCTCACTCCTCAGTATGGGCTGTTTTATATTTATCAGCTAAGAATACAGCGAGAGTGCAAACAGTAAGGGAGGATGCAAAGAACATGAAGGGAGGGGAGCCCGTTAACTGATAAAGAAGTACACAGTAACAATGAACAGAGGTGGAAGTGAGGGCAGCCTTGGCCATGTTGTCAGAATACACCCTACTCTTACCCATTTTCTTGTTGTTCTGCAGCATAGTGCCCCAGTTCTGTACCAGGCAGGGGCTGGACCGGAGGAGGAGGTAGAGGGACATTAGCCCAAGTTGATCCATTGTTTTTCTGCGCTTTAGAAGAATTTTTGTTTTTCTTCTTTTTTCCACCTTTCCCACCTGAAAGCAATAAATTCACAGAGAATGATTATCTAAAGAAACAGAGTAGAGCAGAGGCCAGGATGTATTAATGTTTTCAAAGCAGCAGAATCAGTTTGTTAGGCTTGATAAAGCAGAAGCTATAAACAGAAATGGTATTATCAAGAATATGTCAAGAATGACTTCTACCAGCATCATTGTCTCTCCCAATTCACTCTCTGGAGAACCGAATAAACCAAAAAATATGGTCACTGTATTAAGAACACATTTATTGATTTATTCCCCTCTGCTACTTCCATGTTTCATTGTTAGATGAAATAATGATTCATAGCAAATTCTTTTAAATGTCAGATCTTACTGTGTTTATAATGCTCTTTTACATAATCTGTCTCAGTGGAAAATGCAGTATCTAAAGATTCAAGTTAAACTTTCCATTATAATTTATTCAATTTAATTATTCCATAGGAGTAACATTCTTCTCCCCAAAGCCATGAGTTTAAAAAAAAATAAATCAACTATAGCTCAGAGAGTATCTGTAAATGCCTCACCAAGATATATTTCATAGACTTTTTGTCCAATGAGTAGCAGCATTATTTGTGCATATATCATGATAGTAGTTCTCAACCATTTTAACTTTAATATTCTATAAAATTCCAAAATGAAGGGACTTTTAGGCAAAGAAGCTAGTTAGCATCTGTACTTTATATAATACAAATGAATTCCTGCACAAATATGAGCAGAAAGTAAGACAACAGTGTATAAATCCTAATGGAATTTACATGAAAATTAATAAACTATGAAAACAAAACATTATTTAAAATATGCTATACATTTTATTCTTCCAAAATTAAAAAAAAAATTAAAACTTCTTCATTTCCAAGGATGGTACCAAGGTAGACACAGGGATCACTATTCCTCGAGCAAAGAAACAAAGGATGTTTTAAGGGTACCCAGCAACTTGTATGACTCCTTGACTTATATGCATGTGCACACAGTGGTATTGACCCTTTGCACTTAATCTTTATTAAAGTAAATGTTGTGAGTGTAAGATATTTGTAGTGGGGCTATCTAGTCATGCAGATGAAGCGCATCCATTTCTTTCTCCTATCTATTACTAATCTGAGTCAGCAAAATCAGATTATAAAGTATAATAATAATATATTGGAAGCCCGGCAACAGATAACACTGGTACACTAGGCATTCACATTATTAGAGACTACACACTTTGTGTCATGCATGCCTACACGCATAGCCATTATGTCATCCCAGCACATAGCGTTTTCACTTTTTGTTTTAATTCTTTGGTGGAAGAAAAGGTACCACAGAAATGAAAGCAGGAATCTTCTACACTAAACTTTTGTGGGTAAGAGCTTGATTTCTGGACCCAAGGGCTAATTCCTTTATTATTCCAGAGGTCAGTAAGTAGATGTCATCTAATATATATATGCATTTTTCCATATACAGAAAATAGATGTTTCATTAAGCTATCTTTAGAAATAAAAAAACATTACATGTAAAATATTAAATACAGAATGGCAGTCATTGTTGCTCTCTTCCAACTCCTCTCTCATTAAAAATTAAATCCATTTTCTAGCCACCTCTGAAAGTCTCCAATTTTCCAGGCTCAGTGAATATGCCAGAAATAGCCTGAGTTTCTGAATTAAACAAAAAGTTTACTGCTGAATAGATCTTTATTTTACATTATGAAATAAATCTTTTACTCATTAAGCCTCCTAAATCATAAACAAAGACCAAGGACTATATTTTTTTTAATAAAACAGTAATTGAAGTTTACTATTTCCAAAGAAATGGGTTGAGCACCTCGTCTTTCCTTGATACTACCTAGCTGTACTTTTTCTTTTCCTGTTTGTCTTTGATGAGGACAGTTTGTACAATCCCACAGCCCTTTTTGAAACGTTAAGCAGACACCAAGAGAACTGAGTGATGTAAGCAAGGAAGACTTGGTGTGTCCATTTTAAGGGTGAGATTCTGTGATTCTCACTGATTGCCCAGGTTTAACGTTCACATTCACATAGAGAGAAATCTGAGTTCACCAGGCAGCAGTTTCTAAGAGCCACCTGTTTGTGAAATGTCTAAACCAACTTCAGTTTTTATATAAACTCAAGCTGAAATCCTTACTAAAAATCAAGAAAGCAATTCAGCCTTTTTACAACTACTGTTGTAAACAACAGGCTTTACAATGTGCTTGGAAACAGCTGATCTTGGAGGGAATTTCCCAGGGCCTTCCACCAAACATCTGTTTCCCCTCTTCTAGAAATGTACAATTATCTCTTTTCTCATTTTGAATAATCAGGATAGGAATCCTCACCAAAATGGCTGTGTGTGTGTGTGTGTGTGTGTGTGTGTGTGTGTGTGTGTGTGTATTAGCTCCATGCTAATTTGTGAGCTTCTATGATAGTGGGGCACATATTACCTAACCTACTAGTTAAATTCTGATTCTGAGACCTGAATCATCAGTGAAATGAAGCATCTCTTGCTTCAACCTGCAACTAAAAGCTTCACCGTTTTAAGTGAGAACTTCCTATACTATGTTTTTTAGGCTTTGTCCAAATATTTGAACTCTCTCTTAAAGTCAAATTGTGTTTAGATTTTATTTATCTAACAAATGAACTCCATGGAAGGAAAATTATGAAAACAATTTATTTTTAGAAATAAATGCATGGAGAGGGGAAAAGAAGTGAGTAATAGTTACCTAGCAAGCATGAGGCCCTGGCTATTACTTCATCACTACCCCCAAACATATCACACACACACACACACACACACACACACACACATATAATTGAATGCATACTCTTTTTAAAAGTTGGCACATTAAATCAGAATCAGTAATTTTCATATATGTATTTTATATATGATTATTATTATTTCTGTGACAATTAAAAATAGCTGAGCTTTAATTTTTAATAACTAAATTTTTAACAGAAGTTTTTGACCTTCAAAAAGGAATATATTATAAAGTATCTTAAGAATGAAATATATTCATTCAAATAAGTCAGAAATGAAAGTTTCTTAATCTTTGGGATTTTTAAAACATTATCTGCATCAATGTGGCTTGATCATTTATGAATGCTATACTATGTTTTAAAACATTATCAGCATCAATGTGAATTGATTATTTACAAATGCTACTCTATGGTTGGATTAGCTAGCCATAAGGGCAGCTGAGTCATACATTTGAGTGTTAGGAAACATCCTTATGAAGCAGAACAGAAATAATGAACTCCACTTGAGGTTTTTTTTCTTTTTTTCTTTTTTTCAAGACAGGGTTTCTCTGTGGCTTTGGAGCCTGTCCTGGAACTAGCTCTGTAGACCAGGCTGGTCTCGAACTCACAGAGATCCGCCTGCCCCTGCCTCCCGAGTGCTGGGATTAAAGGTGTGCGCCACCATTGCCTGGCTCCACTTGAGTTTAAACTGAACAGAAAACTGAAAAATGAATAATAATTTTAATCTCAGCTACTGAAAATTCTTTCTATCTCCTATTGAAGTAATTTAGTATTCAAATGTAGATCAAGTATTTATTATAACTCCTAGATCTGTATATACATGTCATCTGGGATATTACTGGGCTCAACAGAGCAGCAAGCACTACTGCTTAAAATTTTTTCAAAAATAACTTTTAAGCCGGGCGGTGGTGGCGCACGCCTTTAATCCCAGCACTCGGGAGGCAGAGGCAGGTGGATCTCTGTGAGTTCGAGGCCAGCCTGGTCTACAAGAGCTAGTTCCAGGACAGGAAACATAAGCTACGGAGAAACCCTGTCTCGAAAAATCAAAAAAAAAAAAAAAAAAAAAAAAAAAAAACAAACAAACAAACAAACAAAAAAACTCATGACAATCGATCTATACCAAATATTTGTTGGCTTGTATGTCTAAAGAATCCATACTTCATGGTATGCAGTATTCTTTATATACATTGCTTAGTATTTACATATCTTTAATGAAGTAAAAATGGAAGCTTCAGCAAAATTACTTTTTAATTATACAGAACTATTGGGCTAATTATACAGAAACGACAGCAAAAATGACATATAAGGTCATTTCTAAAGTTCCCCTGTATTATTCAGCCACTTTAAATTCATAACAGATGTTTAAATTTTTTCCTATTCTATAATGTATTTAATCCTACCAATACGCAGGAAGAGCAATGACTCATTTTGGAGGGAAAAGAGGACATTAACATTTCAGTCTAAGAATATTCTATCTCCTGAGGAAAAGTAATTTAGTAAATGTAATCCTAGTGGTGTTGAAAGTTAACTCTTTCTGCTCTTGAAGTTGTACATGGCATATCTTTAATCTGAAAAGATAAAACAAGTTGTGTGGCATGATCAATTAGAAATAGAGACGTGAAATCAACAGCCAAATGGTGTGAAAACAATGGCAAGATAACACATCTACCACCAAATTTTCCTATTACAGGCAAGAATCCCCGTGGTGGAAATGTCACTGTTGCTTGATAGGATAGAAATGCATTTCACTGTAACAAAATATATTCCTGCCCATGTGTTGTATTATGCCTGCATTAGAATTAGTTCAGCTCATTTCATTCAAATACATGTTCAATTTACAGTATAAAAATAAAAAGCCACATAAAATATTATATGCATAGCTCTTAAATTGTTAATAATCTCCCATACTAATTTTTCATATTTAGCAGAGTCACCTGATTTGACAGATAAAAAGGCTCTCATGTGATATTTTAGAAAACCAATACAAAATTATGAGGCTACATTGCTTAATCATTAATATAAGGCCCCCAAATAATTTTATTTCCATCATGTGTATTTTCTAGAATCAATGACCTGGAACTGAATATCGTGTATAATCTTTCTATTATAAAGTTCTCTTGACTCATAAATAGGACCCAGGACAGACAAAACACATCTGTTCTTCATGAGCAATCTTTATGAAGATGGCTCTATTTTTCTCCACGCACATCAGTGCACAGTTCATGAAGGGGTGACAGTGACTTTATCCCTCCTCCTCCCCCAATCAAAGTATAACTTCACTGTGGTCAACCACTGCCATCTGATAGATAAATAGCTGCTGGCTGCTACTGGGTTGTGATTAAATATTTCTTCAATGGCAGCTAGAAATACAGGTCATATGCTCTTGACAAACAAATATTTCTCCTTACTGTGATCGGACCAACCTGAGAGACTGCCACTCCTTTCTGAGCTGTTGTGGGAGCTGGTGGTGCTGAAATCCTGTGACTGGTTGTGTGGCATTCTATTAGACAGTCCCTCAGCCAATCGGTAGTCAGGGATGTAAAGTAAGGCTAAGGGTTAAAGGGCAGAGGTCATAGTGGCATCATGGGATTAGTTCACAGCACAAGCCCATGCAGAACATGCAGTTAGCAACTCAGAAGCAGATGTTGTGGGAGAGCAGAGGAATGCTTTATCTACCGTTTCCTAATGGAAGTAGAGATGGATTGCTGGTTATTATACTGAAAAATGCTAAAAGAATGAAACCAACTGGTGTTGGTGTGTGATGGTGAATTCAACAGTGGTGGCGGTAGTGGTAGTGATTATTTAAGGTGCTGGAGACATACATGCCGAGAGAATATTTTAGTTTAGGTAATAAGCCTTGGAATGGATCGCTAAATTGAAGATTAAACAATAGATACAGATTTCTATATCATGCATAAATGATGTGAAATTAATTTCTCAAGATACAAGAAACTGACTCACCATTGTTACCTTTGTTCTGATCAGGGAGTGAATAACCAAAGCCCATCAGGTCTGTTTTTTGCTGAATTGAGCTTTTCCACTGTGGATCAGGAAGATCAACTGCCAGTTCGTGGATGCTGTTGGAATGCAGGATCTGGGTAGTGGCATACGGGGTGGCCTGTGTTATTTGGCTGGAACTATTGTAAGTGGTTTTGGTAGTAAAGTCAATGCTGCTATAAATGGCTCCATCTGAAAGCATCGTTGCTGTTTTATCCCCTTGGCCTGGGACTGGCGGCAGCACATCTGCAATGAACATAGGGAAATGAAACTATTTAATGATGCACAGGGACCCAGACTATCAGCACTGAAGATGAAAAATAAATGTGTCACACTGCGCGTATGCATTGCAGCCGAGATGGGTTTCATGAGCCAATGAAGGGGAGATGATATACAACTCTCGTCAGACCATCAACCCCAGTGACAGGCAGGCGCAACCCACGTCCTTCACGTCTCGCTGCTTACTACAACTCTTCCCCATTGGCTTCGAGCACGAATTAGGAACCTGAGATGTGCCACTACTGACAAACATACTCAGTTGCTCACGTAGTTTTAATGGCAGAGATACTGTTAGCCTTTACAAGAGTGTTGCTAAGAGGGAATATACAAATTAGAGACGAATACATCCCTTTCCACTTCAGCACCAAAGACAAAATACATAGCTGTAGAACAGTTAAAAATGGCTCAAAATCATACTATCCTCACATGAAGTAACATTTTTTTTCTTCTTGAGTTTTAACTTGCCATTTATTTTGCTTTATTTCAGTGTTGGAATTGGAGGATAACTGGAAGAAAACAGACTTCTTTTTGGTGAAATAACAAAGGGAAAAAAATTCAAGAACAAGTCATTTTCACAAAGCAGAGAATTTAACTCAGAAAAAAAGCAATCTTGGTGATCAGTGGGTTTAATTTGTGCTATCAGCTCTGAGAATCAGAAATTCTCGTTTCACACTGTACAACAACAAGAGCTAAATTAAACTTTAGGAATAACAATGAACATCGATCAGCCCGTTTATCATTCGGGGATGTGAACTGATGCTTTACAACTCAGACCTGCTCCCTCCCTCCTGAGCTTGTTTTCTCTTTTCAAATCAAAGAGAACTGGTGATTCTGCTAACACTGGTTTTAGACATTTAGAATTAATATCAGTCTGAGTATAGAACCCCCCCAAAAACCTTTGTGCTTTACAAACCTTGCACCCTAGCTCTTGAAGACATCACATGACTTGATTTGTTCATTATACAAACATTTTCAACTTTCATTATTTTTTTTTTCTTTTTGGTTTTTCGAGACAGGGTTTCTCTGTAGCTTTGGAGCCTGTCTTGGAACTAGCTCTTGTAGACCAGGCTGGCCTCGAACTCACAGAAATCCACCTTCCTCTGCCTCCTGAGTGCTGGGATTAAAGGCGTGCGCCACCACCGCCTGGCTTATCTGTCTTAAAACTTAGACTTGATGACTCTCAACAGTACTTGAAATGGAGATTTTTAAAATTAGCTTCACTTTTGTAACTTATGATAGCTAGGGAATTTGTAACAGAAAATTTATAATTTTGTACACCAAAAAAAATATTTCAGTTTCTAACGGTTCTGAATCCCCAACTCCTTCAGTCTCTTTTTATGTTAAAGTGTATTTTACTTTACTGAAGTAAATATCTTAAATGAAAATCAGTGTGGTTGTTAGCTATATTCAAGATTGTAAATTTCAGCCCGGTGATGGTGGCGCACGCCTTTAATCCCAGCACTCAGGAGGCAGAGGCAGGCGGATCTCTGGGAGTTCGAGGCCAGCCTGGTCTACAAGAGCTAGTTCCAGGACAGGAACCAAAACCACAGAGAAACCCTGTCTTGAAAAACCAAAAAAAAAAAAAAAAAAAAAAAAGATTGTAAATTTCACTGGGTTATATAAACAAGTGAAAACATTTTTTAGATTTATGCTACTTTCTTATCCTTCTAGTTTTTAACTGCAAACTAATTAACATTTAAATGTTAGCATTCTTTTACTCTTAAACTTTTTATGTTTGATAATACTAGTTAGTGAAAATATTCCCATGAAGGAGTTTTCAGAATTTTCCTTCCTTCTGCTATTCATTCATGAACATTAGTTATCTAGAATGTCTCACCAACATTCACTTATCTTGAACCTATAATTCACCAATGTTACAGACTTAGGTTAAAGGACAGTTTATTTGTAAACTCTTGAAATGGTTTTTGGTTTGCTTGTTTGTTTGTTTGTTTGGTGTCCAAAGGGTAAAAAAGGGTGAAAGAGTAATGAAAAATGACACCATAGGTAACATTACTCTGTTACCACACTGACTATGACTTTGGACACAAAATTGTTCCCAGTTAGGATAAGTTAAAGTCAGTCTACAAATAAAACTGTACCTATATTGATTTTAGCAGCTGCATAGTCTTCAAATATTATTTCATCACTATAATATATTCAATAATAAGTAGAATTATATCCTAATTTTAAAGATTGGAAGATTACTCGTGAACATTTGTACGTGGAAGGAAGTCTAGTACTATCAGATGGTTTGGACCTCTGTGCCAGCTCTGTCGCAACAGGTTGCATCTGAAGGGACACCACCATATGGAGGTTGCGCTTCCCATTTTCCCTTTCCCCTGGTTCCCAACAGTCTCTCCTTAATGATTTAGTCTGTATGGCTCTTGTTAACAGTGTCATTGAAATTTGTGAATTGAAGGACTACTACCCTGTAGATTGCATTTGCAGTGAATGCAGATTAGAACATCTTGGTTGTGCTTATATTTATGAATCTATTTACATACTACTTCCTTATTTGTGTGAATGACTCCCTTCTTCACTGAATCTTCAGTTACTTCTGGGAAAGTTTCTTTTGAGATTTATGTCTTTATTTTGGTAAATTCACAATCCAATGACATGAAGAGAGAAAACACTTGTTAATTAAGTGACCTAATAAATTTTTATTTTTATCTTTTCAAAAGGTAAAATTATTTGCTAGTGAGTCACTTTATTATTTAAGTTTCTCTTTCATCTATATTCAAACATGTTTTGGCATCACATTATTAATGGGAAAATCTTAATGCCTGTAATAATTCTTATAAATGATTACAATTATGTCGCCATGCATGTAAACCCACATGGCGAAAGCACCATAGTCTAGATAAAACACTTGAGGCTTTAAAAAGTGATCTGATCTGCTTTCTCCATTCAGATCCAAAGGTACTCATCTTCATTAAGTGTATTGTCTTAAAATTTAAACTATAAATATTGTTACTTATTTTATAACTTTATAAAAAATTAATAAATATGAAAATACTATATGATCATTTTCTTACATGAATAGTAAATGTTTAAAATCTCTAACACTGAAAGGAGACAGAGAAAACACGGAAAACCTTTTAAATTGACCTTGAAAGCAACTAGAAGTGTTTCTCTTCACAAAAATGAGGTTGCAATAAAGAAAAGCTTTGCAAATCTACATGTATATACTTTGGTTACATTGGAACAAGGCATCTGAGAAATTAATGGAGCTTGCCTAACAGAGTCATAATATTCTTTGTGTATGTATTAATTGAACATGTCAACTTGTGAAGAGGAAGCTATTCCTTGTCAGGTGAAAGCTTTAGAAACCAAATTTAATTTTACAGTGTAGGTTGTGGAATTGTGGGTCGCAGAGGGTATTTGGATGTGTTCAGGCACAGACATTTGCCATGCTATTTTACACAGAGTTGGAAGCTGAACAGTCAATCGGACAGTTTGCCAGCCATTGTCATTTGTAACCTAATGGTACCTATTACATGCTGACTATATTCTATGCTTGTGCTATGGAAAGAGTAAATGTTCAATATTTCTATCACATTGAACAAAGAGATGCAGCAAAAGGTTTCTTCTTGATATCCATCCATTCAATTCTCGGTATAGAATTACTTCTTCTACCTTTATTCAAAGAAGACATATTTTGGGGAAAGAGTATGTTTACAGCAGAACATAAAACAGAGATAACAGTAGCATCCAAATTTGAAAGTATTAGCATCTACTCAGCATGATGACATCTTTCATTTGTAATATCCATTATTGACCACAGAACTTTGGAAGTCTCTTTCTGAACATGTCTCATTTACTTACTTATCTACTCCTCTTCATAGATATATTACATGATGGTAAGGACCATCTTTTCTGTTTATTATTTATACTCTTCATTACTCCCATACTGAAAGTCACACAAGAGGTACTTAGTAAAAAATATGCTGATGAGGACAGAGTAGGCAAACTAAGTAGTACAATATCGAAGCGCTTAGTTTCTGGTTTCAGGATTCTTGTGAGAATATTTGAAAATTAAATGCTCAGTCAATATTTTTTTCTTCTCAATTATTAACGATTTCCTTAAAACCTAAATTTTGCTTAAAGAGATATAGACATCCAAGTTTTCTCCTAAAATTTTTAGCAAAGAACATCATTTTTGCTATATGTTTTTCTTGTCTTACTTACAAGAGAAATTATTCTTTAAAATGTTTTTTTAATTATGTGTATGTGTGTGTCTGAGCATGTGTGAGTGCAGGCATCATTGGCCTCCAGAAAAGGATGCTGGAACCTCTAGAGTTGGAGTTACAGGTAGTTGTGAGTTGCCGAGTTTGAGTACTGGTAACCAAATGAGTCCTCTGAGAGGCCATTAAGTCATTGTTTTTTCCCCTGAGTCACCCAACCAGACCTGAAAGGAGACATTTATAATGTGTTATTTTAAAATTCTGAAGTCAGCAAGATGGCTCAGAGTCATCAAGCCACTAAGTTTTATGACTTGAGCTTGACCCCAGGGGCAAGTTGAAGAAGAAAACTGAAATGGGCAAGCTTCCCTCTAGCTTGTCCATGTGTGTTTGTAACCACATATTTTCTTACCTGCATGCAAAACAAAAATATAAAATGTTTAGAAGAAAACTAAAATAAAATAAAAATTCCAGAACACCAAACTAACAATAGACACCCCAATAATAAATAACATTATTTTGAAACACACAACTTACCTCCACGCCCAAAATTTCCAATTTCATTTGGGCCACTATTGCTATTGTTTACTGGCAAACTCGTGGCTGGCCATGAGTCAGCAAGCCATGGATAATTGGGGTCACCAGCATTTAGAAGACCTGGACGGCTGAGACAGAAATGAAATGGAGATTAGCCTGTGGGCTCAGCGAAGGAATTTGACATCTTCCTTACACACTAAAAAGTGTAAGTGATATAAGGTTTTAATTGACTTTAAATTAAATTGCAAGTGCTCTTAAGAAATAAGGAACTTCAGTAGTTCATTAAAGTTATACATAGATCTTCTCTGTCAGTGGAAGCGAAGAGGCTTTACCTGAGACTCTGCCCACATACAAATGACATCAGTTTTCCACCCTGGAATCAGGGTGGAATAGAGAGCATAACAGGGCCATGAGACCAAGCTTCATGCCAAGTTGACATCTCAAGGGAACAGTTCCTCTGAGAAATTGCTTTATATCTGCTATTTCCCAAGAACTAAACTACCCAGTCCTCATTTCTGTAGTTCCCAATTGAATCTGTTTTGTCTAGGTAGGCACCCTTACACAAAGATATCATAACTGACTGGAGACAAATAGCTTGAGCCAAATTAATGAAGATTTCTTATAATTTTCTAATAGTACATTTCTACATTTCTCACATTGCAAAATAAGGGCTAGTTAGGGGTTTTTAAAGGCAGTATGACCCAGTTGTATGACCCCAACACCTTACCATATCCTGTGAAGAAAACTTTTTTCCTGTCACATTTAATAAGGAGTGCCATTATTTAATGTAAAAATGGAATTCTGATTCCTTTCCAGAATATTAGCATATTTGCAAAGAAATAGATCACCTATAATTGTTGCACTTTTTCTGATAGATCCCTTCTGGTACAATCCCTAAGAGAAACGTAAGTTTTTATGGAAACTGCAATAAGATTCAATTGCTTTTTGCTGTATCTGCTAGCTCTCATTAGACTTAATCTCTTTTTGCTAAAATATTGATTAAATGGGAGATTGGAAGTTATTACCAGAGCCTAATTACAATCTCCATATTGGCAAAGGGAAAATAGATGAGGATATATGGGTTTGTTATCAGCTTTTATCAATTTCAATTGAGTATCCAAAGTTCTGGAATCCAGTCCTATCAATCTACAGCCTATTCATCATCCATGAATCATTTACTTTGTGATCGATTATGTGTAATTGTTCACCCACAGCAATTTAGTGAGAGCCAATAAGGAGTCTTAAACAACAGCAACTTCATTTGCTAATGTCTAATTAATGCAATAAACATCGTGCTAACAAATGAACACATTCCTTGTGATATTTACTACTAATTTCTTCAGGGGCATCTGGGAGATATGAAACATCTGGACTTGATTCCTCTAAAGTGCATAACAGATAGATCATTAAACCTTGTGGTAAGCCATTCAATTCCTCATAGAATTCTAAGACGTATAAGTGATCGTTTATTACAATAATAGCTGCTCACTACAGAATTTCCCCAGTACTGATTAAAAATAATAATAAAAAGAAACTCCTTTGCATACCTCCCATTGCTCATTAGTCCTCCATCTCCTCTTTGAAATGTTACTGTAATAAACAAAAGACATAAACACATAGTAGTCAGTGTTAATCACAATTAATAACAGCTACCTATTGGATCTCAGTTTAGAGGTGAAGATCAGGAATTCCAGCACAGTATAATTAATGAACTTATATAGGTAGTGACAAGCAATGGCTTGGTTCAGTGCAAAGTCATCACTTGCGCTAAATTAAATTGATTGCTTTAAGTTTCTTCAGTTGAAATGAAGAGTTACAGTGGCCATTTGTATCTAGGTGTCAAAACTGTTACAAGTGGTGTATGAGTGTTCTTACTGGAAGAACGATACAGCAATAATGTGGAATTAGCAAATGTAGTCATTTATTCCCAACAAGAAATTGTCTTATTAAAAGAAATAATACAAAACTATACATTGAAGAGAACTAGTATTCTTCCATATGGTAATATGCTTCCAATAAACCAACAAAGAGTGTTGATCACACATTTCTGATCATCAAAAATCACTTCAGGTATATTTAAAAGCATTATGCATTGAACACTTACTTACAATTATGGTAGACATAAACTACTATTAATGTGTGTTACTATTCTCATGACAATATAGTTTGCAAATAGTTGATATTGAATGGATTCCAGTTATGTGTAAATATCTCAATTTTCTCTAATACTGAGGGACTTATTAAAGTAAACACCAAAAAAATGTCTAGTAGAATCATGAATTCTACTTTCCAATTATTGTTTCCACTTCACAAGCCAGAAACATGAAAGTAGACCAACGTAGTGACCAAAGAGTTGAAATATCAGTCCACTTCCATCATTGCTTTCTGAAAATTCGTTAGGTAAAAATGTACTTGAGCTTTACAGTGATTTGTACAGGAAGTTACATTCCTCACAAAGGGTTTAGGGACCTAAGGCTGAGGAAACTCAATGCCGCCTAATATTTCTGCCACAAAAGTGAAAAGCCAAGCACAGCAGAGTAAAATATACACATAGTTGCAAGTTTGTTGGGATCAAAGTTTGTCACTAAGTTATCAAATTTGCTTTTGATGTAAAAGATATTTGCTGTGAAAAAGTTTCCAGAATGCAGAAGTGTTAGAATCTTATAATTTGAACCCAAATCATTACAGACCAGCACAAGTGATCAAGGGTGATGATGGGTATAAAATGAACACCATATTTTGTCTTTAGATGACACCAATTATGTTTTCTCTGATTTGTGTGGGGTAAACATGAAAATATTTTTTTAAAGAATTAACTAAGATATAGTCTCCAAATGTATAGATAACTTTCACAGTTTGGAAGATTTGCTTGAAGTTCAGAGCAAGATTAACCACTCTGGAAATTTTGCAGTTTCCTAGTACAGTGCAGCGGTCTCTCCTTGACAGTTCTCTATTTGGTAAAATTATCATCATTAGGAAAGAAAATTTAACTCCAAAGGTCTACAATACATAAAGCCTGATGTGTGGCTCTCAGAAATGTACTGTATGGACCACACATATACTGCCCTCTCCACTTTAACCTCGAAAATGTGCTATGAAACCATCCTGACATAACCTTAACATCTGCCTATAACTAGCTACTCAAAGAAGATGATACCTATCACTGTTCCACTTAAGGGCTTAAAATTCAGTCTCAGGTGTGCAACTCTACCATATTGTGCCCAATTGTTAATTGATTTTTAACATAAATGAATTAAACTATAACAATCAATGTAAACAAATTAGCCGTGATTAGTGGAAGGTATTAGATAAAAGCCTAACATACACAAACACATGTGAGTATAGGCATGCACACACTGACAAAAAAATGGAAACAGTAAAGATGATTACCAACCACTTATCTCATGAATTTTATTAGCTGTGAGGTTTATAATAGAATATTAATTGCTAAAATAAATTTAAGACAATGCTGTAACATTGTAGGTGTGCAAATAGGCAATGTTTGATGGACTACACTTCAAAAGTGATGCTCAAGGGATGCACAAGAAGCTAAATAGTCCTGCTTAAGATGATGCTCCTTTTCCTCTTTTTGTTATTACCAGATTATAAACATAAGAGAAAAAGAGACAGTCTAATCAGAGACACGAAAAGCATCCAATGGCAAAACAAATTTTTATGATATAATACTTACAACCTAAACATAATGATGCCATTAATTAAAGCTAATTTTCAGTGTTTGAATGCTATGGTAAACTATATTTACTAATAGGAACTAAATTTTAAGTATGACATTCAAAGTGATTAATATTGTACATTCAGAAGATATTTTTTTCTTTTTGTATGTCAATCATCATTTAAATCTTTCTTAAATTGGTCTAGATTAACATTGGGTGTCAAAGATCCCATCAGGACATATATCCCTATCTTTATAAAACAATTACAAAACAGAAAAATTCACAGAACATTATGTAATTACTTGTGTAACTTATAATATCCTCCACACACACAATTTGGTGGATGTGAAATTCTTCCAATTTTAATACTTCTGTCAAGAGAATGAAGAAGAATGGAAGAGGGAATGGTGACACATGTGCCCATATATCTTATCATAATAATATTGATTACTTGTCTTTTTGAGGGGGAAGCCTGCCTCATTGTGTAGACCAGGCTGGCCTCTGCTCAGACATCAGCCTGGCTCTTCTTCCGTTGTGCAGACATTAGGTGTTTACCATTAAATCCTGCCCCTAGTTGTTCTTTTTAAAGGAGGGTGTAAAGAGGACAATAAATTTCCTTTATAGCCTGTGATCTGCTTTGAAAACAGAACAAAAGTAACAGCTTTAATAGATAAACAATAAAAGCAAATGACAACTTATAAACAATTGGAATTAATACAATGGAAATTGTGCATAATCTTTTCAAAGCATTTTTAGGAGTCATGCAGAGGGAATCACAGAAAAAATAATGTCATTTCCAATCAAGAGCTGCTTTGAGGAAACTCTAATTTCAAAGAAATATTCGCCTTGATGTGGAAAGCACCTGGGATCAGGAAAGAGAATTCATGACCATCCCCATGTCACTGCTTTTCTAAGCCCAGGCCAGTCACTTTGTGTTCATCCGAGATAAAATTGAAGAGACCTTGACTGTGAATGAGGAATTTCTTCTAGCATCTGAATATAAGAACTTCTGGAGAGCAACTTATAGAAGCTTCAGACATGAACATCTAAAACGTTTCAGAATTGCCTTAAGTATTTGAACTTATTTTGCTTTTCATGAAAATCAGGAGGGAAAGAGATTTTCCAAGTTTCTGTCAAATACAGAATAATTCTGTGCTTCTAATATCACCTGTCAGAATTAATCCTTTGGCATGTTTGCTAGAACTGGGGGACAAAAAGAAGAAATGGAACTATGAAGTATATTGACATTTTGAAGTAAAGAAGCTTCCAGAGCGCCTATCTCTAGTAGGTCACTTTTGCCTACTCGAAATGGAAACTTTAATGTTTAAGTCAAGCCTTCCTCCTCTTCCTGATAAGCTCTTACTCAAATATGAATGCATTAGTTTCCTTTTAATAAGCATTAACAAAGCCTACATAATCAGACTATAAAAATTCCATCATATCACTGAACTGCCCTTGCAGAGCCTGCCAAATATTTTGATTTCACCGTGTTTTAAAAATCCATGCATAGAGTATTTACTGTGCTATAATGTTCTCAAGCATGCTAAATTGTTGGTATCTACCAAGCTTTCTAAAATATTGTCCTTATAGATAATAGTCACGTAATATAACCTCCTCTTTAAAAGTAAACCAAAGCTCACTTTTATCAAAATTTAATTACTCCAACAATTACAAATTAAGAAAAATAGGGACTATAGAGATGGCTTGGTGGCTAAGAGCACTGGCTATACTTTCAGAGATTTCCAGCTCAATTCCTAGTACCCACAAGGCATCTCACAACTGTGTGTAACTCCAGTCATAGGGAATAGGGATCTCATGCCCTCTTCGGTTTCCACAGGAGTTCAGGATGCAGAGGAAGCACAGATAAACAAGAAGGCAAATGCCCATACACATAATAAAAGTAAATTAATAAAAATGTTACAAAGAAACAAATTGAAAAAATATACCATTGAATTATATGATATTGATAAACATTATCTGGTTATACATGTACATATATGATATATTTAAATCTATGGGACACATTTTAATGATTTATTTATTTACTATGCATACAGTGTTCTGCCTACACACCATATCTCATTATAGAGAGTTGTGAGCCACCATGTAGTTGCTGAGAATTGAACTCAGGACCTCCAGACAACAACCAGTGCTCTTAACCTCTGAGCCATCAGCCCAACTTGATATATTTAAATCTAAATCTATTGGTACTACATAGATTTGCTTCAAAATTTAATTGTTTGCTTTTTTAGCTATGAAAAACTGTAATTGTGACCATATGCTCACTTTATATTTAAAAATATCCAATATTTTCTTTATAAATCTCATTTTAAATTTCTCTCACTTTGTAGCATCTGAAGTTGTGAATGTTTTCTTGTAATCGGAGTCCCTTCATGCAGAGACAAGGAAATTGTCCTCCTTGGTAAAAATGAAGGTAAATACAGCTACTTGTTTTAAAAATGTGAAAACTCACTCCATTTATAATGCAGAACAGAAGGACCTAATGAACTACAATTGTCACTTGTGGGTTTATTTTACACATAGAGCATGGGCAAAACTATGCTGGGCATTTGTGTCTGAGAATTTAAGTATGAGAAAAATACAGAAAGAAACATGGCAAAATGAGGATCAGTTCTGCACTATAAGTCCCCTGCTTTTGTCTGTGCAGAGAAGCAAAACATGTTTAGACCAGCTTTTTCTGCAGGATGATTTGAATGTATTAGTTTGTATTTGTTTCTGGATATTTGATTATACAATGGAGATTTTGTCCTTTAGTTTATTGTAGCAAATGTGTTAAATTTGCTGGTCCCCAAAGAAAATTATAAACACCAGTTAACAGAGTGTTTGTTTGTTTGGTTGGTTGGTGTTTTCTCTGCTCAAATTTTACAAGAACAATTCTGTAATGAAAACAAGATCCAGAATACATATAATGAGAGACTGTAGGTGCTTTGCCTGTATAGTGTGAATGAAGGTATTCTGCCAGACTTGGTGTCTCACCCTGCAAGCTATTTCTGTTCTCCACTAATTAGTGTCTTCCTATTTCTTACTTCCAGAGACTAAGAATAGACTTGGGACAAAGGTGTAGGGTGCGTGCTTCAAACCTGACCTGTTCTATATCAAATTTTTACCCATTTAGTTTTATTTAAAGTCTAGAATCCCTAATAGAGGGAATACATCAAACTTTTTACTGTATTTTCATTGAAATTTGAAAAAGAAAGTTATATAATACTCTAAGAAGTGGTTTTACATTGACTTGATAATTATTAGAGAGTACAGAGACATAAGCCTGAGAGGTCATAGCACCTGCATCAGCATAAAGTCATGTAGTGGTGAATCAACAGAAACTTCAGAAATACCATCTTGTTTGTGTAATCACATTGCTTTAATTTTATCTGGTCTTGTATTTGTAATTTCAAAATAAGAAATTTCTAAGAGAATTTTTGATGAAAAAATATAAAAAGACTAACACATCCTGTTTATTATTAATAGAAAACCCTTTCAAGAAAAATGATCCATCAGTAACTCTGTGCTTTTAAAATGGGACATCAGCCCATTCATAGAAACCGTAACTACAAATGTGTGGGAACATGCACATCATTATCAATTCCTTATTAAAATCGCATATCCCCAGCTTCTGTAAAGACAAGACTGGAAAAATTGAAAAAAATAGAGGGTAGGTGAGTAAGAAGAAAAAATATAGAGAAGATATTACAACCCAGATAGGAAATGCTCCTTCCCTAGGATTGGCAAATCTTCATTTGCTTCCCACCTAGGAGAGAACAGCAATTGCTAGAAGGCAAGTGACAAGGATAAAGGACATCTATCCTCAGCCATCCATCAATTAAGTATTAAAGCTTTGAAAGGCTTCTCTCTGGCTTGGCCTTCTTCCAAATACCTGAAGGGCAAGTGCAGTCTGAGTTAGCAGTTCTCTTCCAAACTCACGGACATCAATCATGAGTCATGAAAGTACGAAATGGACAATCCTTGTCAAGCTCAAAGACCAACAGATATTTTCAAATTAAGTGTATAAGTTTTTGCAAAGAATTGCTATGAGAGACAGGAAGAGATGTCTGCCTCATGTAATTCTACTGAAAGTGCAAACTACAGACTGCAAGAGGTATTTATTGTATTGCTCCGGCGTGAGCTACTAAAGAAGGATGCAGGTTACAAAGGTACCATTTCACAAGTGAGTACATCCGGACTTCTCATTAAAGTGACTTCTAAGTTTTATCTCCAATTATTATCACTAAGTCAATTGAAGTAATAAGACTAAAATTGTCCTTGAGTTATATTGGGCCTACCTTATGTTTCATATGATTAGTATGAGCATGTCACAGGAAGACATATAGCTTAACGACAGATGAAGCCAATTGGATGATTGACAGTATCTACAGTGCTGAAAGTAGAGGGCTGGATTGCAAAACTGGCATTGAAATACTGTTGAAATTCAAGACTTTGCCACCCATCAATTGTTACTAACCACTGCTTTCTGGGAAGGATCTCTAATCTGTGAAGTGTAACACTTAAATGACAAAGAGTAAGGCAGCAGGCAGCTTTGACTACTGTAAAGTGATATTGGGATACTTCTTGTCAATGGATACACTATACATTTTATATGTTATAGACATAAGAACAATGCTATCGTCAAGTTGCCATGTTTAATGTTGTAACACATCAAGAAAGACAACAAAATGCATAATGCATTCTTTGCATTGTTTTACTGTTAAGATATTCTATTAAATTTCCATTTCAAGAATACATACTTTAATTACTGAGTTTGTCAGGGAATTTATCAGTTATTAGAAGATTAAATACAGTATCTCAAAATATTTCAAGTGTTCAAAGGATAAAATAAAATTGCTTCTTTGAAATTCTACTGAGTGTGTGCTTTTGGAGTTAGTCTTTCACTGCTGTTAGAGAAAATAATTCAAAGTAACCACAATACAAATTATAACAGAATAGAGCTTCAGCACTGAATTCATTCTTTCAATCTCTGGTTATGACATTAGTGTCTCTCTCTCCCCCACTTCTGGACTCTATCTCTCTTTCTCTTTCTGCATCAGTCCCTAACTCATCTATGTCTCTTTCCATTTCTACATCCATCCCTAACTCATCTATGTCTCTTTCACATTTGCAGATGTTTAAGTGTACCACATCCAACATCCTTGAGAAGCTCTCTTGCATTTGGCAACAAGAACACTAATTTTGGAAATGTTATAGAACATCTCGGGTCTCTTTCCTTTCATTTTTTTGCAGCTATTTCGGTATCTTTGCTCTTCCTTTTGCTTCCTTCTGTTCCTCTTTTTGAAAATGTTGTTTGTTCACACTGAAATAAGTACCCATTTTTGCTTGTTTATCTTTTTTTTTTCACCATCTGGGCTATTTCCCAGTGTAATCTGCATTGTGACATTCTGGAAGCTGATTTTCAAATCTTCTTTTCTGAGCATTTTAATAACTTTCTTGTCTAAATACACTTCTCAAAAGATGTCTTTATAAATTCCAAGTTTTGCGTGTATGTGTGGTTTTTGAAGAACTAGTTGAGAAAAAAAATAGTTGAGCATTTTATCAGTGTCTCCTCTCGCTATGCTTCGCTGGAGATACAAGCAGAAAGCTTGCCTGTGGTCATAAACCGATATGGTCAAGAGCAATGCACTGAAGCATATTGCTTATAATTGCATTTTACAGAGCGGGTTTTTATAACAAGCCCAAATCATCCATTTGTTATTCCATTCCATTTCTTCCTCTCATCGCATTACATTCCAGAAGATAAGAGGTTTTTATAGCTGAAAATAGTCTCTTACCAGCATAATTGCTGAGCCCCTTTCTCTTCTTTCTTCTCCAATACAACCAGATGCTAAAACCCATCAAAATTACCCAGCAGGCACCACCAATGCCAGCTATAAATGCCGGTTGCTTCACAACATCAGTTATTTGCTCAGTTATGCTGTTATTGTTTTCAGTAATAACAACTTCGTTGCGTCCCCCTATGAAAGGAAAAATGATGTCAATAAACATTAAGAGAAATGATTGATGATTGCAGAAATACAAACACCATACCATAGGCATGTCCTTTTAAAGCTTAGTTGATAATAGTTTTGTCCTGAGGCTGTCAAGATTACTGATAAGAACATTTTAAATTTAAAAAGAAATATGAAATCAGTGTTTATTAGTATTGTTAAGAATGTTACTTACTTTTAATTTTTCAAGGACAGGTTCTAAAAGACCTTCAGATTTATCATATAAACATTAATTGGAACAACTACTAGCAGCTGAAATAACAGATATTTTTCTTAAACAAGGTAAAGCATTTTTTTATCAAATTTCCCATAATACAAGTACTTGTACTGGTGTGGTAGAATTGTCTGTATTCTGTCAATCATGTTATAAATAAATGCTGATTGGCCAGGCAGGAAGTATAGACAGAAAAACCAGACAGGAAGTAGAAATGATGTAATGAGAACAGGAGAATTCTGGGAAGGAGGAAGTTGATTCCTCCCACTCCTGCCCAGACCAAGGAAGCAGCAGGATGTGATCCGCCTCACTGAAAAAAGGTACTGAGCCACATGGCTAACAGAGATCCAAAAAATGGGTTAATCAAGATGTGAGAGTTAGCCAATGAGAGGCTAGAGCTAATGGGCCAATCAGCTTATAATTTATAGAGACCTATGTGTGATTTTCTTTGGGGCTAAACAGCTGTGGGGGACCTGGTGGGAGGATAGAAAACACAAACAACAAACAAGCCAGCATTGTACATTGCTTTTCTGCTACTGTTTTGCCTATTTTGAGGAGGACATAATTCACAAGATTGTATAATTTCATAAAACCGTCAATGAAACCAAAGATATAAACTTTGATTTTTGATGAGGCATGAAATTCTCTGTATAGAACAATAGCAAATATGAAAACATTAATTTATGGAGTTCAGCATGTATAATTAAAACATTAAGAGATTTCAAATCTTATCCACTCCCTAAGAGCAGTTAAGAGTTACTTGACAATTGGGCATTGAGTCAAGATGTTTCATGTTGAGAAAATTTAGACCTCTGGAAATCAATTGAGCAAATCCCAATCCATACTTAATAGGTTGTAGACTTGGAGAATCGTAATAACACTGGACAACAAGGATTTAGATGTATTTAAAAGATTTTTAAAAACTTAGAAAATGAGAATCAATGAATCTAATGTCAATATCATTTTTAGTTAATATAAATCAAGAATAAATGAAAGGTAAATTGCACGCAAAATATAAAAGGGGCAGCCCAGCAGATCACATCAGTGGCAAATGCAGCACTGTTATATGTTAGAGATATGTTATATGTTATATAACATATGTTATATTTTATATGTCTTTGACCTCTTGAAGAGATACACTCTCCCTGCTACTTACTAATACAGCATAAATTCTAGGCTTGTGTCAAGAGCTTAATCAGTATGTCCCTGGTTCAGATCATTGGCAGTGTTGTTTTTGCTTTTCAGTATTTTGGATTCATTGAGGTGATCTTTCATCTTTCCTTCTTCCTTTCTTTCTCCCTTCCTTTCTTCTTTTTGTGAGAACTTTCCTTTTCATACTCTAAAATGCAGTTGTACAATAGACTCTTAGGCCAGTAGTTTTTAAAGGAGTCTTTCTTCTCTTAAAGAAACGTGTCAAATCTTGAGATACATGCCAAATCTCAGAATATCTGGGGTTGTCTTAACTGACATGAGTTAGAAAATTAGAGTGCTCCCAAAAGCCAGATCAAGGACTAGGGACAAGTCCTGATCCCACTGCTGGGAAGGAGACAAACAGACAAAGCTACACAAACTGTCACACACATGCAGGTGGCCTAGGTTGGTGTCATGCAGGCTCTATAGCTGTCAGCCTAGAGTTCATGAGCTCCCGCTAGCTTAGGTCAACTGTCTCTGTGGGTTCCCTGTCATGACCTTGACCGCTCCCCCCCCCCCCCACCAGTTCATTAATATCTAGGGGAGGTCTATCCCTTTTATTAGTGGAGATTGAGAACTGAATGGGGTGGGGTAGATGGGAGGCAGTGGGGGACAGGAGGGGAGAAGGGAGGGGAAACTATGGCTGGTATGTAAAATAAATGAGTAAAATTTATAAAGAGAAAAGAAACTAGGGATGTTGCTGGTATCTGGAAACCACTTGCTGTACAAGACCTCATACATAAAACCATTACAAATCAAAGTATGATCAAAACCACATAACTGCAGAATTTGAGACATAGAATGAGAATACAATCGTATGGGAAGCTTCTATGGAAGCTAACAGGAGTACAACCTTGTCCCATGTGATGTAGAGAGTTACATTAAGTCTTTCACTGGGTTTTTTTAGACCTGTCAGGTGAACTGCTTAAGATTGAGGCTCCTGAAAATCCTTTTAGTCTTTGATTCTGGGACAGAAAGTTAACAAACATTCCTGCGTCCTCCCGGCCATCCAGTGGTCGGTAGCCAGGGGATGACTCACATGCCTTCAGCTGCACCCCCTAGCAGTGTTTGGCAGGGCTCTAGCTTCTTCCTCGTGCCTTGTGTATCAGAAACCAGTGTGTGCTGTAGGTCATCGTGTCTTTAAGAGACAGAGAAGCTCTTGCTAAAAGAATATAAAATGCTGAATGACTATGGAATAGAAAGCCAGACAGCATTCTTCTAACCCTTGTAACACTGGTCTATGGAGAATCAACAAAATATTTTAATTTAGTAAATCAAACTGCAGGCTTCTTTATTATAATGGCTAGAATTTTCTTACATACACACACGTAGGTATACAAATATATATGTTTTTATATATATTTAAAATATATTTATATACATACACTCAGAGATGTGTATGTGTGTTACATTACTGATGCTTTTTCAGGTTTAAAATAAATTAAATTACACAGTAAATCTTTTCTGTCTGAAATATATGCACCTTTAGATTGTACATGTATAAAAGTAAAAAGCTGTATTTTAATATCATATTTTCAGTATGTTATCTGGTGACTCTTTTCACTGTAGACTTACTAAAAGGTCCCCAAACATAAATTAAACAAACAAAACAAGAACTCCCCACAGCCTGATAGAGTATAGAACAAAGAGTATGAAGAGATTTGCCCTTTTTAAAGGGGAGTCCTTAAAATGTTTTATTTAATATTGCACAGCATTTTTCTGAGCCCTAGTATATTATTTCTTCTTATGCTGATAATTTTTAAAACAATGTTGTCAATTGTCCTGAAAGGAACACAGGCAAGGTGGTGTGACCACTATGTCCTATTGTTCTTGCAGAAAAAAAAAATGTAATGAAATGTAATACCTTTTTCCCATTGGAGAGTAATGAAGAGGAAAAGTAATTTGTTAGAAAAAGACTTAATTAGACACATCAGAATCAATTGTACCTATTTCGGTGAAAGTATGTAATTGTATGGATGATCACCAACTCTCCAAGAAGAGTATGAAAGATGAATACTTTAAAAAATAGTTTTATTGATTTCTCTTTCTTCCTTTTTAACTCCTGTCTGTTCAATGTGGCTTTGTTGTTGTGGCTTAATACGACCCACATGAGGTTTATACTACTAAAGTAAATTAAAGAAAAAAATAGTTTTATTATTAAGATGATTATTGTTATTTGTTGTGGATAATTTTTGTTTGTTTTTTATCTGTCGTTTTATTCTAAATTTCACTTGAAGCCCACTTTCACATTGAAAATTGCTAAAAAAAAATAAAATAGCACAATTTCAAGGCTATTTCACAGTATTTAAGGTACTGTATTTTTTTCACAACACTGAGATGAGATAATTGAAACTTTACACAGCCTGGCATAACAGCCGTCTAAAATTATGAACCATAAACTGCATCAAATGCCAATGCATGGCTTAATTAGCAAAGGGAAAAGCAGGTAAGCTTGAGTCGCTTTTCATGCTGTTTCCAGTATGGAATATACAATAGGGGAAGCATAAATTGAAACAGAAAAGGAGATTAGACATCATTAAGCCACTATTCAACTGAGAACGAGCAGTTGTGTACAAAGGCTTATCAGACAAGATGTGAACCTTGATATGGAGGGATAATTAAAGAAACAATTAGGAAGTGTCTCAGGACAGCAGTAGATATTAAAAAGAGACGGATCTCTGGAGGATACATCTTTTCTGGGTCGAACTGGACTTGCACATGTGCATGTCCTCATTTTGGTTACTACACTGCTGTGTTCATGATTACCTCATAAACATAGCACATTCAAATTACCTGAATACGATGCAGGAAAGGCATTGATTGATTTCATTGTTTCTAAAAAACAATTTAAATGCTTCTTTGATATACTGAGATAGATTAATAGTTGTGATCAAAATTCAGTTAGGAGACTCAGTCTTTTGGATGTAATACACTTTGGTAAAACTTTGCAATGTATTTAAAGTCATCTAAGTGAAATCCACTATTTTGCCATAATATAATTGCTCTGAGAAGAACTGTGCTCATCACAGCACAGCATCGATTTGTGTAATGTTTCCTTGATTCCAATCGAACCAGGTATTCAAAATACTGTGAGATAGACAACCACTAGGAAAAGAAAAAAAATCTCCATTGCTTTAAACAATATATATATGTATATATTAATATTTAAGTATATAATATTTTAGTAATATATACACATATATTACTAAACAGAGCAGAAAAACAAGACACAGGAGGGAAATACAACTACGTGGCAATCTTACTTATCTTCAGTAAGAAAAACTATATTCAGTAAATCCAATTTATATTCATTTTCTTTTTAGGAGTTTTCAGGAAGAAATATCCTTTGAATTTCATTTAAAGAAAAGAATTCGCATTGATCAACAATGATGCGTTTAGAATTAAAGCACACAGTGAAGAGAGATGTACTTTTGTCTTTTTCCACACTGTTTTGTCTGTTTTGAGACAGAGTCTCCATATGCAGCTCCAGCTGGACTTGAGCTCAATGTGCTTGTCAGAAACTCTTCATTACTTTCTTCAGCCTCTCTTGTTGAGATTCTAGACTAGAGGTAGCTGGCACTACACCTGGGCACTCATAGTCTTAAAAATAAAGGAAAAATGAAGTAAAAAGACTTATTTCTAAACACTTTAAATAAAATATGTATTTATGCATACACATATTTATGTGAATATATATTTAAAACGTTTTGAGCATACCTATATTTCTTCCTTATTCTAATTTATTTCAGAAAAATCTCAGAAGGGTAAGTTTGTAGGTTTCCCTCAGGTTAAGGAATTAATTCAGTCTGAACAACTAATTAAGAAGGGAAAGGCAATTTAGAGAAAAGGTAATACTTTAACTTTTTTCTTCAATGCTATTCACTTAGGAAACAAAGAAAAGATGGGAAGTCTAAACATTTAACACTGTGACTAAACATAAAGTCTGTTTCTGTGCAGAAGAAGAAATCATCACCCAGAAATTGGTACTATCTTGTCTGCATATCATTTTATCATGTTAGAAAATTAGGAGACAAAATGAATGCTTTATGAACTTTTGAGGAACATTTTTGATATATGTATACTTTTTTTTATAAAATATTGTCACTATGATGTCAATAAGAGTGAAGAGAATTGAAAGGGCTTAATGACATGCTGTGGTAGAGAAATCTTCATTGATGAGCTTTTGCTTCCTTTAGTGAGGGTCTGTTGCAGTGTAAGCAAGCCTGTGACCACACTGCTAAATCTCAATGACATTTATATGGTATGTCAGAATACACAGCTTAGAACGCTTGAACAATAGAGAATTTAAGGGAAATCCACACTACACAGAATCATCTGAGGGTAATGATCACTAAGAAGCAAACAATCACCCCTGAAATCCTGAGGTGAACACTTAACTTTGCATTGAGGAATACTGAAAAGACCTGGTACAAAGCAGAGGATGAAAGACAAGAGAGGGTGGCCAGCTAATATCCAGTCCAGAGAAATCAATTCCTGATATTTGAGATCCATTCAGTTAGGGGCACCAGAAAGACTTACTAAATACTTTTATTGAAATTCCCAAAGCCCTTACTTTAGATTGAAAATCAAACTGATGTTGTAATCCAAGAAAAAGGACAAGACCTAAAAAACTGTCATACAAAAACCATGAAAATCAGTAAGACATCTCAAATTCAAAATAAAAGTCAAACAAGGCTAGTTTGTGGGACAAACACAAACGTTCTCTCACTGATCACAAAGGTTCAAAATATATCATAACAAAGACCAGTATCCAGGAAAGTAGAGCCAGCCATATAAAAATAGACAGGCAGAGAAAATCAAACAAACAAACAAACAAAAAAACAGTCAATGCAATATGAGCTAAGAACAAGAAAGGAAAAACATTTAGTGAAAGTAGACTATTCAACATAAAGGTTTTAGAATCAGGAAGAAAATATTTTACATGTTATATTCAAAATAATTTTGTTTAGTTTAGGGGTTTGCATATTGTTCTGACTCTTTGGGTGGGGCACGCTCCTGCCATACATGTGTGTGAAAATTAGAAAATAGCTTGTGGTCGTTGGTTCTATTATATGAATCCCAGGGAAAAAATGCAGGTTATCATGTTTAGCAGCAAGCACTTTTATATGCTGAACCATTCTACCTTTCTGAGAAATAGATTTGAAAGAATAAACTTCAATAAAAATAATATACAACCCATATAGACTGATGAAACTTAACATAAAGGATTAAAAATAATGCAAACACTTAAAGAGATGACCTGACACTAGTATTTAAAAACAAAGTACATCTCAGAGCAAGAAATCTCACAGTGAATTAAAAGCAATTTCTGATGATGGTTGTGAAATAAGCACACCAACAGGGTGTAAGTCTTAATCATCCAGTAGCAACTAGTTTAAAAAAAAAGATGCAGACTGAGGGTGGGGGAGAGTGCTCCTTAACAGACTGAGGGCTGGAAAGAGTGCACCTCACAGACTGAGGGCTGGAGAGACTGCTCCTCCCAGACTGAGGGCTGGAGAGACTGCTCCTCACAGACTGAGGGCTGGAGAGATGCTTACGCATTGCATGATCTTGCTGCACAAGAGAGAAGACTGGAATTTAGATGTTGAGAGTCAACATCAATGTTAGATGAACATGGAAACTCATCTGTAATTCTGGCACAAAGAAGGCAGAGACAGCATAGCCCCAGAGACTAACTTTACCATACATGCAAACTGTGGATATGCAAGATCACGCTTCAAAGGATAAGACATAAGATTGATAAGGATTCCTGACATCAGTCTCAGGAGTCCATACACACAGACCTGTACACACATGTGAACATGCATACCTACCACATACACATATCAATAAGTAAGAAAATACCAAAAAATAAAAGCAAGGGGTTCTAGACCTAAAAGGGGATGCACTAATGCATACTTATCATGTATTTCTAGATTCGGTTTTTGTAAATATATTTGTAGAAGATAATTATATTTATATTTCATATGCACAATCCACCATTCACTAAGATTAAATCACCATAATTACTATTGGCATGGATAGCATTGTGAAGTTAATAAATAATTAAGGAAGAGACAACATTGATCCTATCAAAACTCCTGAAGGATAAATAAAAATGAGGAAAAAAATACTACTGTATAAAGCCATTCACACTCATTCCAAAACTTGACCAAGACACAAAAAGATAGAATGGAAAGAATAACCAATCTACATCCTTCATTAATTCACAGTTAAAATTCTTTACCACGTGATACTAAGTTAGATCCAGCAACAGACACAAAGAGTATAATAATGATGGAGCAGAATTCATAACCAAGAATTAAAATATGATGTATCTCTTAAAAGTTTCAGGAGAATTTAGCATGTCAATAACAACAACAAAATGGAGAAATGATTTTTTTAAAAGTTAATATATAATAAATATCAATGAGAAAAAGAGATTCCAAACAATGACTCAGCACAGTGTAAAACCCATATCATACACTAAGAAAGTATATCAACAAAATATATAAAAGATCACATACTGAAAACTACAAAACACTGTTGCAGACGTCTGCAATGAAAACATGTATTATGTTCCTGGCAAGGACTCACTGTTATACTACTCAGTTTGACAAATATGTTTACTGTCTTTGCAATTACAATTTCTAGATACTTTTGTAGAAACTGAGAATCTGATTTGAAAAGTATGTGTAAAGCATTAATATCCACAATGATTTTGCAGAAGAAAATGATGACATCTTCATATTGCCCAGTTTTTTTTTTTTGTTTTTTTTTTTTGTTTGTTTTTTTTTTTTTTGGTTTTTCGAGACAGGGTTTCTCTGTGTCTGTGGAGCCTGTCCTGGAACTAGCTCTGTAGACCAGGCTGGTCTCGAACTCACAGAGATCTGCCTGCCTCTGCCTCCCGAGTGCTGGGATTAAAGGCTTGCGCCACCATCGCCCGGCCATATTGCCCAGTTTTAAAGACCACTGTAAACCACAGCAGTGACAACAGGGTAGTTTGTTTATATAAGCAAATATAAACATTAGAAACCCTGAAACAGATTCACATACATTTATTATATTGGGGCGGAGTCAATAGATGCTGTCAATTCAATTTGATAAATTTATATAATATTTAAGTCTCAGCCTTTCAACTTCATGCAATTACATAAAGATTAATTATAGATATAGGTATAAAAGCTAACATTATAAAGCTTCCAGGATAGATTTAAAGTGTCCTATTTATAAATAAAACACAGTTTCTCATATATATGTGTAAATTTAAGAACAATATATATAAGAAAAAATAGTAAATTGCCTTTCATTAAAATTTAACACTTTTTTATCAAAAGACACTATTAAAATAAATAGAGAATTCGTGGACTTGTAGAAAATTCTACCATAGCCCCATTCTTGTATGTGTGTATTTGTGTGTGTGTGTGTGTGTGTGTGTGAGAGAGAGAGAGAGAGAGAGAGACAGAGAGAGAGAGAGAGAGAGAGAGAGAGAGAGATTTCATTTAATATGCAAAAGGCCAAGAAATTAGCATAGATAAAGTTGTTTTACATCATTACCATGCAAGAAATTTGCATCTAAGATTAAAGATGTACAGTTTACATCCACTGGAATGTTTCCTATTACAGACTGGCAACACCAAATGGTGATGTTGCAGAGAAACTGCAAGTCCTCTTTGTGGTTCCCAGGAATCTCAAATTTTACAATTTCCAAGTTGTTTAGAGGTTTCAAGTAATATTAAAAATGCGCAATTCTAGTATTTGTAAATTCTACTTCTAAGAATTTCTCCAAAGAAACGAAGGCATGAGCCCTTGCAAAGGCTTGAAGAAAAATGCATATTCACCAGAGAGAAAATCTGATAAACAAAATAGAGCATAGTCATAGGATTCAACACCATTCAGTAACCAAGTATTTAAACTGTGTTAAAAATACGTGAAAGAATCTCAGAAAGTGTTGCTTGAGTCAAAGAGCAAACACAAATTGTCATGTCTAGATAATTTCATTCATATACTTTTCAAGAACAGTCAAACCTCACCATGAGTGACAGGAAGCACTTTTTTTTTTTCAAGAATGTGAATAAATGTAGCATGAATTTCTGCCCTCATGGGCATTACCAAGTTCTTTTGAACTGCTTCTTATTTCGGTCTGCTTAGAGCTTAGTTTTCTATATTGTTATTGAACCCCAATTATTAGTAGATCTATTGAATACCAATATTCTTTAGCCAACTAGCCAGCTTTTGATAAGAAAAATCAACGGGTATAGCTATAAGATTATGGGACACATATACAAACAATTATTTGTGTGAATTAGTTGTAAGAACTGTCAATTATCCTACTTGCCTGTACTGAGTGTACTATATGGGTCTCTCAAAAGAGCTGGCCATGGTCAAGATGAACACTCAAAACCACAATCTACCTTGCTATCCACATAGAGACACTCAAGTTCAGAGTCCATAGCCTGATACTCACCAATTATTATTGGCTGTGGTTCACTTTTTACTCCAACCCCTGCACTTGTGCTAGCTGCCACTTCTACCCTGTATTGAATTCCAGGGAATAAGCCACCTATTACTACAGAACGAATAGCAGCATCCACAGTTTTGTTGATATGGAATCGTGTTTCATTTCCAAGACACCAGATCTATAGAAAAGAGAGTACACAGAGATAGTATGACATTTCTATTCTGACAATTCAACTATTATAACTGGATACATATACAGTGACTGACCAATTTTGCAGTCGTTTCAAACTGTTTATAAATGACATTTAGAGACATTTTCTGTGCTTCATGTACATTTCTGTGCATTTGAAGGAGAACAATATGACAAGCTGAAGCTCTGTCATGTTCTTTTACATCTCCCTAATATCATATGAGTTTACACTGAGCAATTTAGAAGGCACAGTGATTCCTTGGACATCAGGTAACTTATGGGCTATTTTAAATTTCATATTTGTGTACATAAAATATCATATTTTTCTGCTTAATTTATCCAAAACTCTCTTATACATAATTCAATATAAATTTATATTGTCAAAAGTATGTAAGTACATACCTAAGTAATTCATATTACATTCAAGAAAATATCAAGTTCAGATGTAGTTAACAGGATTAGTTGATCTCAATTACAGGAATTTATCAAAATAAAATTAAAATTAATAGTGATATATAGAGCAATATCACTAAATTTTAGTCTTTATCAAAATATATTTACACACTACACATGCATGAAACAAAATGGCAAGAAGGATTCTAAGTAGCTAGATTGTTATTTCAATATAAATTGAACTTCATGGGATGTGTTCCTTAAAGCTACAGAAATTTGTTACTGTAAATGATTATGAAAGTTCTCGCCGGACGATGGTGGAGCACGCCTTTAATCCCAGCACTCGGGAGGCAGAGGCAGGCAGATCTCTGTGAGTTCGAGACCAGCCTGGTCGACAGAGCTAGTTCCAGGACAGGCTCCAAAGCCACAGAGAAACCCTGTCTCGAAAAACCAAAAAAAAAAAAAAAAAAAAAAAATGAAAAAAAAAGAAAAAAGAAAGTTCTCAAGTATGTTCGTTTATTTTCTTATTATACAATATTTCATAATAAAATGCATATTCATGTGCATGAATGAATAACATTTGCTTCTGAAACAGGGAACTCTTATAAAATTTTCGGCTAAAGATGTCCTGTGAATGGTTTATTTTGTTTCAATAAAGTATCTGCATGGCTGATGGAGGTGCACTTAGCCCTTATCTGAATGCATACTACTCTACCCATATATCTAGACATATAATAAATGAGAAACATCATGCTGTAAACTATTGTTGCTATTTAATTAAGCCCAAGTTTAGAGTATTCAGCCTCGGATAATACAGAAACAAATCCCTGGCTTCTTTCACCAACACATAATAGTGCTCAACTTTGTAACATTCCCACAGAGATGTCATATCCTACAACTTTACAATTGATTTAGTTGCGTTTGCAGGAAGACATCTATCCTTCCTAAGCATGGTTGCTTAAAATAGGATAGGGGGATTAAACAACAATGTCTAGTTAACATATTTATTTGCAACACGAAGTTGACCGTTAATGTGACAAAGGTTTATTTCAATAGATTTTAGGAATAAAATTCAATCTGCACAATTTAGCATGAAATTATTCTGCCTATTTTTCCATACCAGCAATGAATTTCTGAAGTAAGGTCAAATCTCTAGTTATTGATACTGGCTTTAGTGAACATTCTACTTTTCAGTTGTTAGAAATATATGTGTGTGTGTGTGTGTGTGTGTGTGTGTGTGTGTGTGTGTATCTGTGTCTGTTTCTGTGTGTGTCTGTGTGTTTGTGTGATATATGTGTGTGTGTCTGTGTGGTGTGTGTGTGTGTCTGTGTGCCTGTGTTTGTTTGTGTGTGAAAAATAATTTCTTTGAATTTTTCCCAAAGTTTAATATATAATAACATCATGATTCAGCCAAATTTTTTTTGAGTCTTAAATATCAGTGATAGTAATGGACCAACAGGAATGCATGTCTTCTTTAGATTCCATTAGTTCAAATATGAGACCACTACTTTTTGCTATTCTGTCAACAATTTATTTCAGTGGCCATGCCAAGGGGAGCCTCAAGGTGAATTGGGACAACAGTCCTGTTCCTTCCTTATACATTTTAACTTTCCTAATCTTCAGTTCATCTCTCCTTGATAATATGGGTGAACTTGGTTTTAATTCTACCTCAAGCCCCTTCTTCGTCATTCCTGAGCCCCAGTATACTGAAAACCATTCCACTCTCCATTTTCCAACTGAGCTCAATGTGTCTGACCTTGATGTTAGGTTCTCATTCTCTGTGCCTTCTCGCCCTTTACTACCACGCATCTCAGTTTGCATCTGGGCCTTTAGAGAAAGGCTCTGTTGAAGTACTGAGATCTCTTGGTGTAGTTGTCTATGAGCCTCCGTTGTTAGACTGGCTTACCTTGTATTCCTGAATAATTCCATTCTGGTGGTCTGGAGGTGGAGGATCCCAGGATACACTGATGCTTGTGCTGTTGTGGCTTCCCACTGTCAGCACAGTGACAGACTGGGGAGGGGCACTGGGAGCTGCAGAGGAAACAGACTGAATGTGAGCAGTAACTTCTGGTAGGCACATGCTCACAGAACAGGAAAATAAAGACCTTTATGGTTCTGCCTTCCAGTCACCCTGAATCTGCGTGTAAATTTCAACAAGCGACAGTTTGTTAACAAAAGGCTTCTGATGTACATTTTAAAGAGGTGCAGTCAGTAGGGGTGTTATCCGTGCTATCACAAACTAAACAGCTACACTCGGGGTGGTTTTCTGTGCTTGGCAGTGTACTGCCAGAGTCCAGTCTTTCTCATGACCTCAGGTAGCAGAAACAACTCAGTTCGCTTTTTAGCAAGGGGGGCATAATGTAAGATATTGCAGATGTCAAATAGTAAGTCAAAATTTAAACCCAGAGTATTTGATTTTAGAAGTTTGCATATATCTTTAACACTTTCTAACAGCTGTGTTTCTAGAAGAATACATAATTAATTGACTCAAATGTATTCTCAGATGATGTGTCCCAAAATGCAAACAAGCATTAGTTCTAGGGGGAGGCATTTTTGGTGTTGTTTGGGGTAATGCTTACTAAGAAAAATAGACATGCAATTATAAATCTCACCAGCAAAAATAATGCTTTTCTTTTCATACTGGGGAAAATAATTGACTATTAAGAACTGGCTTATAATTTAAGATTTAAAGCATATTTTATGTGGCTGGGTAAGAGACTCTGCTAATAAAATTGAAAATGGGCTCATGTTGGGTCAGACGTGAAATAGAGATTTTTTTTTTTATTTCCGAGAGTCATTCTCTTCCTTTATAGTTTCTCCTATAACTAATTACATCCATGCTGAGAAGCAATGAGTGAGAATCGGTTCCTGAATTTAGATTGCTGGGTCTTCCATTCGGGGATTCCCAGAGCTAGGAAGCACTAATTGTGCAGAACTCAGCCATTCTCAGTGAACCTTTCAATTTAACTCAATGAAAAAAAAAAAAGAGAAACATTGGAACATTTGGATAACACTAAAAATATGTCTAGAGATTTAAAACAAAGAATTGTGGACCATTAAATAATTTCTGCAAAACTCTTCATGCCTCATACGACCGCAATTTACACCCCCTTAGAAATATCCTAAAACAAACACATTTCACAGTTCAGCTAAGAAGGGGTCCCATGTTTGGTCAATTTGTCATGGCACATATCATTGGAGTGACATATTTGCATTGAGATATAAAATACAGAGAGACAGCTGCTAATACAGTTTGCTCCTTACTGTCTCTCTGTGTGACAGTATTATCCAAAACATAAGTCTGACCACTTGCCTACCACCCTTACACTTACAAGTAGCAAGACTGCGCTAAAAGCTATCACCTGGAAGCCAGCTTTCCTGTCTTTTTGTTGTTAGCTGGGCGAGAACTCCATGCCTACTCCCTGACAGCTCAATTATTCTGCTACTCAGCTTCCTTCTGCAGATTTGAGAGAACGTGAATCGCTGCTCATTGCTCCAGACTTAGTCCAGCTGAGACCATTTGTTACATCTACCTGGCCACAGAAAACGGAGATAAATGTAGTCCAAATGCTGACAAATATCTAATCCACAGGAAAAGTCCACTGCAGTGAAGCTAATTTTGGAACAAGGCTTAAAGTTATCCTAAATTATAATTATTTGCCCCATTCACAGGTGGGAGAAGTTTTCAGCATATGTCAAGTATAATACAGGATAAAATTATTAATAATATTAGTATTTTCTTCTTTATTTCTTAAAAGTACTATTGTTTTAAGTATATTCACTTTGTCCATGCTGATGGACAAGTCAATGTGAAGTTAATATTTTTATTTTGTATTATATCATAGGAAGTGTGTGACTTAAAAGCTCTCTGGATGAGCATTAGGCTTTTATAGAAAGAGGCCCAGACAATCCATCCACAAGCTGACTTGGGGGCCGAGTACTTGTGGTCTCACCTTTTCACTCTGAGGGCAGCATGTACTAAAAGTCTCTCACTGACTGAAAGAAAAAAAGACTCGCTAAAATTTACATTCATCTCAGGTCACCATGGGTTGACTTTTAAGTATCTGTGGGTAAAAGATATTCCAAATATGGGGGGAGGAGATGAAACTCTTCTAAGATGTCTATAGCAAGAGTGCAAATGGCCTTTCAAAGGAGAAAGCATGGCTCTAGCTGCCAGTTCCTACAAAGAAAAAGGACTGGTAGATGTCAGGCTTGGCTATATCCCTAAAGACTGGTCAACATGAATGAGCTTATTTTGTATACTTGAATGTCTTCTGAAGCAAAATGAGCTAGATCCTCATTAAAATACAAAAATATACTACTGCCACTTAAAATGTCCTAAAACAGAAAGCTTAGGACAAAGGTATAAGAAAAAAATAGACTTTAACTTTTTTCTTTTTAATTTGCTTTGGCCTTTTTTGTCAGATATACATAGACAAACACACACACACACACACACACACACACACACACACACATACAGACTCATACACCTCCCCCACACATCTTACACACATACATATGCAATCACACTCTTCACACACACCTCACACACACACCTCACCCACACACCTCTTTCACCCATGTTTCCATCTTTTTACTATATATATATATAATATATATATATATATAATATATATATTAAAAATGACATTCCCTGGATTCACTCTTCGATGCTCGTTTTCTGGTCTTCAAATTAATGTGAGTTAAAACTACAAATGAAAGTGACATAAGCAAAGGTTTAGTTTACACTGGAAACTTTACTGACCTTCCTCAGTAGTACGGATTGTTTTTGATTCACTGTCCATTCCTTGGAACTCATTAAAATATGGCCTGACTTTAATTTCATAGGTCACCCCCTTTTTCAGATTCACCAGGACAGCACTCCTCTCGGTTGGGACTTTGGCATCGAGATTCTGCCATGCAGTGGAAGCTTGTAGGCCAGAAGTCTGACGATACATCACTCTGTAGCCCTGAATAAACTGGGGTTGCCGATCCACCTGGAAAACAACAAAACAGTATAGGATAACTGATGGAAATTGGGAAGACGTCACTGACGAATTTGCCCATCTCTGCCCTTGCCATGACCATCTGAATGATGCTAGACGCATCTCATTCATTTCCCTGCTTCTTATAAAGTCCTTAAATCACAAGTACACATTGTTATTTTAAGATACTTTTTTAAAATGATGAGTAGGACAATTGTCTCCTTGTCTGAAAATATGTCACCCTATATAAAATGGTCACACATGATCTACTAAGGTCCCAACTGATCATCTTTGGTTTCTCATTTGGTTTCCATTTTCTTGCATTCAACAATTCGCATTATCCTGGTTTTCATAAGTAATATGCAATTTTCTCACATCAACTCATTAATTCCTTCTCATTTAGAATCTTTTCTGTTGTTCTTACTGATAGGTACCAAGAACTTTGCTGATTTCTGAGAGTGAAAATGAGCACTAAAGGACAGATCCTTATTCCTCTCATAGTCCATGTAGAAGGAGGGCATTAGTTAATACTTAGTCAAATAATATTAAAGTTACCATAACAAGTAAGCATAAGGAAAGGCTCTGAATGTGAGCACTGGGAATTAGAAAAGCCTTGAGGAGGGAGGAAGCTGAGGTAGAGGGCAGATAACCTGAATGAGAGTGGAAGTCACTCCAGAGATAAAGCAAAGGATAAGAATTCTTACATTCCTGTATCTGGATAAGCTGCATGAGAGATTAAGACTGTGAGTCCATCATGTTTAAAGTACATGATTGCTCTTCCCTGTTAACAGTATGTAATTCAAATTCCATCAGTTCAGCAGCTGTTTCTTCCTCTAGTACTCCCAGTCAACAGGTTTTGACAACTTCCATGTCTCTCCCTATATTAAACAGCAGCTATATTTTTTACCTATAGTCTGGGATTTTGTATTTGACTAGTAAAATCTTTTTACTTTATGACACCGGGGTAACAGGTCAGTTGGAAAATAGTTTCGCAAGTTGAAAGTCTGAGCTAGAGTCTAGAACACATGTTAAGACAACTACAACAAAAGCAAGATTTGGGGAGGGGAGACCATGGGGACTTCTAGCCAGCCAGCATAGCCCATTTGGCAATATCCAGCCCTTTGACAGATAAGGAGTGCTAAGAATAGTACCAGAAGAATATCAGTGCTGCATATGCTTCCCCCTCATCTCCTCTCTCGGAAAATCACAAAGGTTGTTCTTTTCTTTTTTCTTTTAAAGAGAAACCTTTAAAATTTTATTAGTTCTTTGAGAATGCCATGCAAAGTGTTTTAATCATATTCATACCTCCCCCAACACTTCTTGCGTTTATATCCCTTCCCTCCCTATTCAACACTATAAAGTTTTCTTTCCCTCTTTTTTAAATCCTTCAAGACAAATTTGTGCTGCCCAAATATTCATGGATATCATCTTCTACTGGAGAGAGGCCAACTAATCAATCACTACCTATATAGAAAACTCTCACTCTCTGCTAGCTATTGCCAATAACCCCATGGTTTGGGGTGGGATTGTGGGTTAGTACAGGATTTGTACAGGTTGTCTCAACTGTTCCTTTTCTTAGAGGTTTTGTGATTGTTTCAGTTACAGGGAGAAATGTCTTTTTTGGTTTTAACTATAATAACAGGAAAGAATATCAAGTCATGTTACTGGTTTACCTTGCATTATAAAGGCAAGATTTGAACATAAGCACTTGTAACTGCTTCCTCGATCACTAGCAAAGACTACGGCTATATGTAGTCTACGCCATGCAGTGGCCATATGCTCAGAAGCACAAAACCAGCCATTTCACTGTGACAGTGTAAAGATTAGTAAACAAGAAATGAAATGACCTAATTTCAAGACAGTCTCAAGGAAATAAAAAAGAATATGAGTTTTTTACTAGGGCTTAAAAATTCAATTATCAGCATGCAATAAACAAAAAAAAATTCATAAAATAAACTTCTAATCATTATTGTTTATTTGAGTATGGCTTATTTTGTGAGAAAGCAACAAACTGATGAATAATAGATCACGTAATTGTTTTTATTAAGTATTAAAATGCAAAGCTTCAACTGAAACAATAAAACAAAGCTATATTTTTCTCTTTAGAATGCCCTAGCTAGAAAATACATTTTTTTCTTACAAGTACATCTTCAGCTGATAGACAAATCTCAAAAACTAGAAATCCCTTCTTTTAGTTGACAGACTTTGAAACCCCAAAGATTCTCTGGAATTAGAATCACACTTTTACGAGGCGGTATCAAGAAAAATTAAGCTCCCGTCTAATCTGGAGCCTCATGAATGACTTTAAAATGCTCAGCTATGCTACCAATTTGTGTTTGTAACAACCTAACATAATTTTTGAAAGCAGAACTTTCTCTAACATAAAATTAGGCAACCAAGGAACAAAATTTAAATTCATGAGAACCAGGGAGAATTGCCTTTCATCAAAACTGCCAGAGTTTAAAAAAAAAATTCCTTGCTGTGTATGTTAAAACAACATTAAGCTTACATTTTATAAACTTCTCTGAATTCCCTTTAAGTGAATTTATATACTGAAAGAAAGACATAACTCACAATAATAGCTTGTTAATACTGAAAGAAGCAAGCTGTGTTTTTAAGAAGAACATTAAGCAGCTGTTTGGAGATGAAGGGAGTCTGTAAATCAGGGCAAATTGGTTTTATCCATGTTTGTATTTCATTAATTAAGTGTTTTAGGTACTTTATGAAGCTAATGTTTACTACACAGCATTGCTCTCTCACTCCACTGAGCACTGCCATCACCCAGTGGATAGTAATGCGCTACTTCATAACAAGAGTTTAACTTAATTTTGTGCAGTTGGGAGGCACTGCTTAGAGGGAGGGAAAATGTTATTACAGGTGAAAGCAAAAAAAGAATGCTGTAAGTTGACCTTAAAACCAATGAGCCTGGAGTGGGGATAGGCTCTTCGCCATCACTCTTGCTCATCTTGACAGGCAACCTTTTCTAAGGTATGTTTTGTGCTTGCTAATAATTTTATGAATAAACAGGTTATAAGATGGACATTCTATTAGAATTTATTCCAATCAACGTCTAGTACAAATTCTTGGGAGTTTCAGTCCCTAAATTAAAAAAGGTAGTACTTATGATGCATTACTAAGGAGTTTGCCTCTAGGAGGAAGCAGAAGACACAGAGAACACCAGTCTCCAGTTGTCACCTGATTTGGTTTCTACCTTCACCTATTTAACTTTCTGTGTTCAAGAATGCTTACTTTCTTCAGATCGCACATGTCATGAGGGCATGAAATAGTAAATCATGAATGTAAGTAAATGTACCCTGTAGTCTGTGGAGATTTACAGAGCATTTATAGGTCATCTCTGCCCAAAAAATAAAAATAAAAAAGACATACAAAAAAAGAAGAAATAGGGCACTTTCAAATCCACATTTTTACTGAATTGCCAAAAGCTATGTTTACTTATACAGTTTCATTAATAAATTGAAAAATAGTAAGAGAACCAAATCCTCCACCTGAACAGGAAACCCCAAATAATTTTCTTTGGTGAGCCAGTTGCTCTGGCAATTGCCCCTAAGAAGCACTCATTGCAGGCCAAGTGTCATGGTGCTAAACGAAAGGCCTCTAATTCTTCTCTCCTTGAACCACAAGAATACTGCCCTAAAGTCATCATTTTTTCAAAGCAAGTATTTTTTTTTTGCTATTTCATCTGTTGAATGGCATTTAAAATCATTTTTATCTACTGTCACTATATCTCTGTTCAGTTTTAGCAAATTGCCATTGCTAATTATTTGACATTAACATAAATCTTTGGTATATCTTGAAGGTGAATGGATTTTTCCCGGAAAAAAATCATGTACAATTTTTTTGATTGGCACCTAAAGGCCATTGTGAGCCACTTTGGATTGCCTTAACACTAAACAGGAACTAAAATATTCTTGTCTTCACACCCTAGCACACCTGAAACTAAAATACTGTGAGTTCAGTAATTTATGTAACCTATAAAAACTGTCTATATTGTTGTTCTTTTATAAAAATTGCTACTTAACTAAATAGTATTTAAATATTATTTTAATGGCTCCTGTTTTAAGATACAATGCCTCAATAGTTTCCATTCTAAATGTATAATAAACTAATGCAATAATACTCTTTGGAGCTTAATAAACTTGCACACCTATGTGACTGAAACTTTTTTTGGCATGTATAACATTTTATGTCACATATCATTGTTACCTTTTTCAACTAAATTTGTGACTCTTCAATGGCATTGAGGTCTAGAACAGGCTTTGTACTGAAAAACTGCCTTGGAGCCAGACTTGTTCAAAGTAATTAATATTGAGAGGAAACCCAAATAATTTTTTTACTGTGCTTTACATCTCAAATAATTTACCAAGGAATTGATAAAAGTAAGCATTTTTTATCTCAAGCTGATTGGTTGAGAAAGTTGCTGTAAAGTGTGACAGAGTTGTTTCTCTACAATGATCTGAATGTCAAGAGGTAAAAATCCAGTTTAGTTTTTTAAAACTTTTTCAGCTATTTCCAAATATTAACAACAGATACAGTTAAATATATCATTACTAGTAATTAAAGAAATGAAAGTTGGACTCATAGTGATGCATCACTGCCTACCCACTAGAATGGTTACAATCTAAAATAAGAGCATGTTAAGTGTTGATGAAGGGAAAAAAACTGAAAAAACATTGGAAGAGACCAGTATTCTATGAATTTACTAGCTATAAAATAAGAACACTTAGGAAATATTTAGCAAGTTCAACAGAATGTTAAGTGTCAAATTAACACATTGGTCAAAAACCACGGGAATATACCAAAGTTAAATGAAAATGTCTGCATTAAAAATGATCCACAAAGAGTTATGGAAACATTATTCACAGTAACCAATAAAATGAAACATTTCATAGGTTTACCAGGTAAGCTATAAAAAGAGAATATGGACTGTGCATAAAACAAAATATTAATATGACAATGTCATATGGAAAAGTTAGATGTAATATATTTTATATTGGTACAATTCAAGAAATAAAGAAATAATACCTATTATAATATGAGTGCAACTCAACAACAATGTGCTGTATGAATGATTTCTGTGATTCCCTACAAAGCAACACTCCAGGATATATAAATCTACAGCAATGTTGCATTTACTGGATGAAGAGGGGTAAGGATGAGTGTAGAAGGGAATGATCACAATTGTTACAAGGTCTCATTCTGTGATGATTTTAGCATTCCTGACTTTGAATTTAATGATGATATCAGAGCACTCATCCTGCCAAAAGTATTTACTGAACTCTACAACTTTGGCATGTTAATTGAAGCTCAGTGAAGTTTGTAGAAGTAAGGACAGGGAAGATCTTATTTAAAAAAAAAACAAAGGATTTATTTTTTTATTTATTATGCAGTGTTCTGTCTGCATATATGCCTACTCACCAGAGAGGGCACCAGATCTCATTACAGATGGTTGTGAGCCACCATATGGTTGCTGGGAATTGAACTCAGGACCTTGGGAAAAGCAGTCAGTGCTCTTAACCTCTGAGCCATCTCTCCACCCCCCCAAGATCTTATTTTAATTACACCTTTCTCTTACTTATAACTCTTCATACAATTTCATCTATTAAATATTTTCTTTGTTTCCATTGATTACACTTTGATATCAAATGATGAATGTCCTAAATTTAGTTTTGGGTTTATTTGACTTTTTTTCTTAAAAGAAAATTCCAAATAAATTTGTTGCTGTATATAGAGACTAATATAATCTCTGAAAACTTACCATCCATGTGACTTGAATGGTTGTAGGTGTCAGGACAACTGGTGTATGTAGACGAACAATGACATCTCCCAGTTCTTTCTGTACTTGTCTGTGGTCCACTCCTTGTGCTGGTGGACTTATATCTGTAGTTAGAAAATAAAACCACTCCTGATTTCAAAATTCATTATTAAATTCTAGTGCATTTGACATAATCCAATTTAAGACTAACTGCCAGATGGAAAAAAATTCCTCGTGACATAAATCAGTTTGGAATACAAATATAAACACATGTATATAAAAATAAGTGGATGTATGAATATGTGTGTTCCATGATGGTATACAATATTTATTATCATCTTTATCATTTTTTTTTTATAAAAGAGTCTTTGTAACTCTGCCTTCCCACATGGATGTAGTGTTTTGGGAAATCACAAGATTAGAAGTTAGACTGGAGTCTATGTCCTAATAACTTGTTCAGAATGACCATTTCTGTAGAGATGATAAAGCACTGAAGTATTTTTCAAGTTATATTTAAGACATATCTGAAACTGAATATTAGAGTTATTTTTAATTCTCTTAGCCTGATCAGGAGGTTGTGTATTCCAACTCCTTGACCTGTATCCATTTGAGTCACAGTTTGATAAAAAAGCTTGAGAGAGAAAAAGGAGCACAGAGTGAAAATAAGAACAAAGCAAATTTGAATCTTTCACAATATTGACAAACTTATAATAGTGGTATAAAATTCCCAAAATAATCAGTTTGGGCCAGAATTCCTTCGTCTAAAAACAGGTCATATAGCTGCTTTGTAGGAGCAAAAGGGAAAGCATAAATAAATAATGCTCCTAGAATGACACATGGTCAACCTTCATCAGCATTTTCTTATCCCTAGTTTGCTTAAAAAGTATTCTATTACTCCATACAGTCATAAAAATACATCCCAAGGTCTTCATAAAAACAATTAAAAATTACATGCATTCAAACGCATCAATTTGATCTCAAACATTAAAAGTTACTCATATGCAAATAGGACTCCTTCACCAACACACTTCAATGTCAAGGTAAAGTTTTTCCTAAAGCTATTTGATTTAAAGGATTTCCAATTCTAAATGATTTTATTTTCTTAACTTCTTCTACCTTTTCCTCAGATTGTAATGCAATGCTCTCGCAAAAGTTTTGAAGCATAACTTGAGTGTGCTAACTTAAACTGAGACATAAATAGTTAGGAACCACATAATGTCTCTTTCTTTAATTTCCACTTTTTCATCTTCAGTGGAAACAACAAAGTAAAACACGAATTGATTTAGAACAGTATGTTCCTTTATATGAATACTATTAACCTTTGTTGATATATGTATGGTCTACTGTGATATTTACCTAAAAGTATTTAAGAGGTTTAATGAAGTAAACAACTTTCAAAGTACATGGTCATTAAAGCCTTTGAAAACTCAGACCTCAAAAGCCAACATGTGCTTTGAAAAAAAATGCTTTACCGATTGCCAAACAGCTGAATGTGTGACATCAAAAATAAATCTGACATTCCGTCACAAAACATGGCTTTTCCTATTAAGTGTCTGTTAAGAGAATATAGGTCTACAGCTCTTTGAAGTTTCTCGGCTGTAACATGCCAGATCACAAAAAAACTTAATTAATCTTTGTTGACCTTTTCATGGAGAGTTTTATTCTGAGTCAAGATTTAGTGACTGGCACAGCTACTGAAGATCATGAGGGTGTGCTGCCCTCTGTCACGTCACACCAGAGGCTCCACTGTCTTCTTTCTCTACCTCAAAACTGCAGCTGCACACACAATGACCGCTAGCCACATAGGTAGAGCTCATAGACATTCTAAAATTTCTTGAATTAAAGAAATCGCACATCTCTTCCATTTCACAGTCATTTAATTTACTCATTCAACCCAGACACATTAAAAGCGGTTGCGTAGGGATGAGGTAAAATGTAACGACTTTCAGGTCTTCAAAGTCTTTGTTGTGCTTTTTCTCTCTCTGGAGACAGTTTCTTTACCTACATACCCTTCATCCTCATGGAAAATTAAGCACACTATGGCGGAGAGAACAAAAGCAAAGTAGCATCCCCTCCTCCCTCAACTGTCATCATGTCAGCCACGTTACCATCACGTGGTGACTTTATTTGACTTCATTCCTTTACCGCACCCTTCTCTGTGATAATGGCATGCTAGTCACTACCCCTGAACTACATTGTAATTATAATAATATTTTATGGCTGCATGGTGCTTTTCATAGCATAAAAATACTACTTTGAATTATATCTTGTTCAAAAGCTCTTACAAATAAGAAATAATTAACCCTCTCAAGAACCCTGTGGGGAGTAGGCTGTAACAAACAATAGAGGCCCCATTTTCTATTGTACTAACTTATTCTCTTACTAGTAAGACAGGAAAGGATAATGCAGTATTCCGTATTATACCCGCACTTTAGTGACTTCTCAGCAGCAATGAACAGATTACAAAAAGGGAGGAGAAGAAAACTTCCATTTTGAAACTAATCATTTTAATATTCTAGGAGATGTGGTCGTATGTTTGTCAGGAAAATCACCTGTGCCAAGAGGAAAGGTTTATTTATTCTTTTCTGAAATAAATATCTCCTTGAAATTACTCATCAGAATAACAATATGGGATAGCTGTTAAACATTGGCACCATACCCCACTAAACATGCTAACCTAACTCGGGACCCTGAGTGTCTCCTTTCTTTGGACTAGAAGCCTGATAATATATGTTGGACAGATTTACAGTCTTTGATATTCCTACTCAAAACCCACTGCGAAACCCATTTTCCTAAAAAAAATCAAAACAACAAAAACAAACAAACAAACAAAAAGCAGAAACCAGAACCAGAAAAAGAAATTCTGGCACCCATGTTTAGGTATCTATTTTTAAAGGGTTTATTACTTTTTCTATTGTAGAATAGAGAAGAAGAAACTCTTTCTTCTTCAATCAGGGACTGCACATAGCTCCAACTATTTGTTTGTTTCACCTATATAGACCCTGAGAGTTCTGAAAGAATACCTCATAGCAAAGTTATATGGGAATATTTCCTTGCAAAAACAATCCCCCAGAGAATCCATTACAATTAGTGTGCACACATGCTCTTTGCTCATGCAATTTCCATTGTTTTAAGTTGATGTACCATCCCAAAGCCATTATTTGAGACAGTTACTGAAATTACCTTGCGTGCGTACCGGATCCGACATAGGACTTGGGTCACTGAGACCTTGAGGGTTGATTGCTCTGACCATGAACAAGTAGATTGTATTAGGCCTCAGTCCTCTCACAGTATAGAGAGTTGTCTTAACATGGTTGGCCACCGTTTGCCAGCTATTGCTCACCGACTGGCTGAAAATGGAACAGAAATGGATTTAACGACTAGTCAAAAAACTATATCAAAATGGAGCTGAGTGTCAATGACAAAGGTCAATGGCTGAAAATTAAACACACACATACATAACACTTGAATTGTCCAGCCCAGTAATGAAACATTTGGATGGATTCATTTTATTCAACCACAAAGCCGAGCCCACTTAACAGAGTGCCATGCACAACAAAATTAAACTCAGTCCAGAAGATGTGACAGCCCTTAGCTAAATGCACAGCAGCCCACTAAATGAATACCTGTAAAAGGAACAAAGGCCAAAATCACAACTTCAAGGTTATACAATAAATATGGTCCTCGTAAATGCGTATGTATATACCTTGCAAAGAATTAACCTGCAGAAAGAATAAATGGGCTACAGAGTAATATATGCCAATACATTTTCCTGTAACAAGATCTGTTTTCTTTTGCATCAATTCCACATGAAATTTTATAATAGAGCCTTCTAAAACTACATATCTGTAAAAGAAGAAAGGACGCATGTAGTGAATATTTTTCCCTTGGTTACATCTTTAATAAAATGTACATTACACAGTATTGTGATCTCTCATCTCTAAATGATGAAGTATCAGATTCTGTGTATGGACCCTTTTACAATTAGCTCCAATGGATGCCATTTTAGAACACTATGCCTAAGGTCAAATGCAATTTTGATAAATTTAATAAGAAAAATGTGATTTTTATGTCATTTTAGCATCAAAAAATCCTTAAGCATCAAACAAAATAAATGAAAATTACAATTTGAAAATATGTGTCATTAACTTTAAAATTGAACAGAAAAGATTAACACGAAAAGGAATCATTTGCCTGATGCTGAGGAAGGACTGTGGCTTTCTTTCAGACTGTGTAACGTCAAACAAAAGCATAGTAAAATGGAATGTAAAAATACAGCATGAATATTTTTTTTCCATTTTTACTTTATCAAGTTTAGAATAAATAAAATAATGCAGTGATTTATTAACAATACCTGTAGCCAGGACAACTCTGTCACAAAACACACTGAAATGTCTTTTCATCACTCAAAAACTAAAAACACATGGAATTGATATCTTAACTTTGGTTTTCAGATTTCTTGCAGAAATAACCAATAGATTTATTCAAGAACACAATATAAAAATATTGGAATTATTTTACATTTGTGATCTAATTACTAATATTCCCAATCCTGGTGTGACAATACATGTCCATAACTTTAATAAGTACATATGTCTAGTTATGGTGTGTTCTGTTTAGGTCTAGTGTCCTATAGTGATACATAGCTTTAAAGAAAAATGAAATTCTGAAATCACCAGAAAAATGAATGGATCTGGAAAGTATATTATTAAGCAAGGTGGCTTAAACTGAGAAAAATACATGCAATTTCTCTCTCAAATATGGTACCTATCCTCTAATGTGTGCGATGTGTATACAAATATAAATATAAATGTATACATATTTATATATACATATATATGAAGAAAATTAAAATATTAGAAGGTATCTGGGAGAGTAAAAAGATAAAAGATAAGAAAATATAGAGTATAGGCAAAAGGGGATGTGTTATTGCATGTATACATAATGGTCAGGAGAAAAGGATGGAGCAATTATGTTACAAAATACCTCTTTATTTTAGAAATAGAAATAAGCAATGAATTTTATTTTTAATCATGTTGTCTACCAAAAAATGAAAATCTCATATCTATTTTTGAATAAAATAAAAAATAAGTGGAAATTCTTTAAGAACTTGTCCTTAACATAAGGTATCAGATTTGCTCACGTGAAACTGACCATACAGTAACTAAGACCGAAGTCCAGTGGAGAAATGAAACAGGAATTGCCTCATACCTGAAAGCCTCGATGATATATGCACTTGCTGGAAGAACTCCAGGTGTACCTGGTTGCCAGGATAAGGTAACACTGTTCTTAGTAACATCAGTGACCTGTGGTTTGGATGGTGGCCCCGGCAGGTCATTTATATCATAATTTTTACTGATTGTTGCTCCAGATTCTGTAGAGGACAGACAGAGTAAATTTCGTTCCTGATTTTGTAAGCAGACTATAATGCTTGAGAGAAGGAAACATTAAAGAAATTGACTTGACAGTGTGCAATTCATCTTCATAAATCAGACAGTTATAAACTATTAGCTGGTTTTCCAACATGCTAATAAATATAGTCTTCCTTTTCATGCATAATCAGTGTAATCACTTGCATTTCAGAAGAAATCAAGCAACAAGGTCATGAGTTACAAATGCATGGAGTTCCCCAGATGCCATGCTATGTTCCACCTAATGTTCGAATACAAAACTGACGTTGTGGGAAGTAGAAAAAGACAAGATCTGAGTAAATTGGGAGCATGGGAACCATGGGAGAGGGTTGAAGGGGAGGAGAGAAAAATGTATAGCTCAATAAAATCAATCAATAAAAAAGACATTGAATGTGACAAGTTAGATTTGCATCCAATGCATATAAAATCTTGATCCAGCATTGCACTGCAATTTAAATTGACTCTCATTAGGAACTCACCTGTTACATCCAGCACGGCACTCCAGGAAGTCTCCCCACTTGAACTTGTAGCCACACAAGTATAAGTGCCAGTATCAGAAATCTAGACATGGAAAGAAAGAATTCAATTGTGATCAACTTGTAATCACTCAGTCTTGATCAGGCATGAGAGTCAAACAGGTGTATGTACAAGAATTGTGTGTGTGTGTGTGTGTGTGTGTGTGTTTGTGTGTGTGTGCGTGCGTACGTGCGCGCATGCATTTGGCATTAAAACAACCTTTTGTAACAACATAGATTAAATATTTTTCAAAATGATATTTATGAAACTAAATATAATTTGTCTGATAAAGTTCATTATGTTTTCCTGCCTCCACTGTAATGTGTGCCTTTTAACTTCATGTTCTTTGGGATTTTTGTATCAGTGCCAGATATTAATAAGCCTACTTAGAATTCATGAAGAATTCTAGATGAATGCAATGCTTCGTAAATGCAATGCTGGCTTTTCTTTTTCAGAGAAAATATATTGTAATAGATAAAAGTATCTAGTACTAAATAGATAATGAGACATCCACACCTCTAAGAAGCCAAATATCTTTTGTAGTAATATAATATCTTCTTTTATTTAAGGAATGCATTCTCTACTTATAAGGAAATGCCATAAATGCAGTACCAAATATCAAAGTGGTATAATCTCAAAACAAAAAAATAAAGGGAAAATTTTCATGGAGCCTTGCCATTTTGAAATAAATATAATCAGAAAAAAGAATCAAATACTGAGTAAAAGTTCCCAGTTCACTGATGATTTAAAATGTCTTTGTTTCTTATTGAAGAATGGCCAAGGACTTTTAGAATTATTGAAAGCATGATCAAAAACTGTCTTTTAAAAAAAAGTAAAAATAAGACAAAGAGAGAAAAGAAAATCTTATCAAAAGAATTCCTGAAGATCAATAAAACATAAAACTCAACGATCCTCCTGGTGTTTGGGGTCTGGGAGCTTGCGGTGCCAACATTTACTGTCAATGGGTTGGTGGAGCAGGGATAATAGATGCGAGCAAAAGACAAAGGACAGTTTAAAGCAGGCTAAAGATGCAGAATTTAAGTTCCATGATGAGCATGAGTCTGTTTATGATATGTAGTAGATTACAGAATATCACACCTTCAGGTTTAAAATTAATCTAAAACTCAAAGAGTCATTGATTCTCAGATAAATCATTAGTATATGAAGTTACTTTCACGTTGTCATTTAATTGATTTTAATGTCATATGTATTTAACTGTCATTTGAAATTGCTCTAGCTTGTCACTCTTTTCTATATGATTTCTGTAAAATTGTCTTCTATCTTGCAGGGAGGATGGGAGTAGCCATCGCAGAATAAGCCATTCTTTCCAATGTGGCTGCAAGTGCATTATAGTCATTAGGAATCTTTGCATTTAAGAAGCATCACTCACAAGCTAAATATAATGAGCTGAAGTTGGATTTTAATGGGATGTTCATTTGAATATGGACTGTGAACATGTAAAAGAATTTGCATTTTATTATAGCTGTTGAACTAAAATGTAGCACTTGTTATTCTGTGTAAAAAGAAGAGTATGTAGGTAATGTATCTTAACTGCATCCCCTTGTCATTGTGTGGAGATACGAGTCTGACATTAGCTGTGGTAGGTAGGTTTTAATGAGTATTGGAATATTCAACTTCTCAAAAGATACAGTTTCAGATACCAATTAGCTGGACTAGGAGAACTTAGCATCCATCATGTTATTTTGTTCTCTTGCCTTATGCATTGAAAAAAGAAATCATGAGACACAAAGGATCTGACCTATAGGAAACCTCTCGACGACACCAGTGAAGTGGTAAAGCCTGTCTTAATCCTCCTTTAACAGCATCCATTGTACAGAAAAAGAACAATGTGCTCAATTTGGCACCGATCAAAGCCCAAATAGCTTTGGAACCTCACTTTTGTGTTGCTATGATCACCATCACCGTGTTCTTTCTTTGTGCTTTTGATAGGACGTTTTCTGATCAAGAGTGCTTCACTTTCTTTCTCTCCTTATCCTTGCATCCTTGACCAGTTTCTTTTAGCAGAAATGAATAGGTTAGCACACTCTGTCACCCCTTTTCTCCTTGGACAGTTAGCTACAAACAAGCCTCCTGGGGATGACTTCTCAGAGACACTATTCAAAGACCTGTGCAAGGAGTCAAAGCTTGCTTGACATCGTCAAGCCTCTACCTTTAATTACTTCTCTCTAACATTCCTAGGGATCTTGACTATCCATGCAAACACGTGCTTTAATGCAACAAAACAGTAAAAAAGCATTAACCTTCACGGCCCAAGTCTTCCTTTATCTCAGAATGAGGTTAAAATGTTTATGCAAGGAGAACTGTTATGAATTTTTTAATAACTTCATTTTTTTCAATGAAAGTTAGCTAATTCAGAAAGAATTTTTAAAAATCATATTTAAAAAAGAGTCCATGTGTAATTTACTTTCCATTCACAGAGCTTGGCAGTACTTTTTGCCTACACAGTTACAGACACCTAATCATAAATAAATGTGTCAAAAACATACATTGGAGAAACGACAGTCTTTTCAAAATTAGGGAAATCATTGAGGTAAGCAAAATAAGCCAGACTCAGACAATTCCTTCATGTTTTCTTTCATATGTGCAACCTAGATTTAAATTTGTCTATGCATGTGGGGGGGGGGCAGGGTAAAGAGATTTTTAAGGAAGTTATAATTATTTTTTTAAATAAAGTTAAGGTCATACTTACATGTACTAAAGTTTATAAGTTTTGCAAATATATGTATGGTATACTGATCAATTACCATATATATGCTTAATTGTAAATATATTGCATCCTATGAAAAGAATCATCTTCACTAGAAAATACACATCAAAGCGTTTTACCTTTAGCCCTGGCTTCTGAACATGAATTTTCAATATTCAGCAAATTTGTGTATTCTTCATTTTATCCACTTATTTATCTTTTATCTATTATCTACTATCTATTATCTATCTATCTATCTATCTATCTATCTATCTATCTATTTATCTCCTATTTATTACCTCTCTATTATGATCTATGTATCATCTATCTATCATCAATTTAAGTATCTATCTTCTATCCGTCTATCTTTCATCTATCTATCTGTCCAATTATCTATCTATCTATCTATCTGCCTGCCTACTTATCCATCTATCATCTATCTATATACTATCTATTTATCATTCACCCATCTATACATCTATGTGTATCTATCTATGTATTTATGTACTTATGAATGTATGCATCCATGCACGTATGTATGTGTATCTATCTATCATCTGTTTATTATATATTTATCTACTATCCATTTATTAGCTATCTGCCTATAATCGATGAATCAATGTATGTATCTATCATCTATCTATTTGATGTATATGATATATGTGTGTCAAGGCTTTTGTTGGGAGGTGACAGGAAGCTTGAAGCTTCACTTCTCTCTCCCCTTTATCTACGTGGGTCTTAGTGACTGAACTCTCGTCTTCAGGTATGGTGGCAGCTGTTTTCACCCACAGAGTCATCTTGCCTGATGATGACTCTGTTATATTATTTATTTATTTATTAATTTACTTCCCTTTGTCTTGGTTTTTCATTTCTGCCCAAGTGTCACATTTTACTAATCATTCTTGAACTAAATAATTACCAATATTTTTATATAGTATCTCCTTTCCTATCTCACTTTTGGCTTCCATCCACCCAGGCCTGTGATTATTTTAAAATATTGCTCTGCTACCATGTCTGCTAACTGTTGTTGCATGGGTGACTATCACACATAGCTGAGTGATTGAGCTGTGCTGGGAGCAGACAGGCAACCCTTATAGTAAAAGCCTCCAGGTTTTCACTTATGTAATCCTTCACCTCACTAATGCGGAGATGATACCTTGAGAGTGGATTCTGATCAGTAACATACTTGAAGGTTTCAGCTACTGTATCTGAGATTTAATGCCATGAAACTGAAATGCCCACTTTCCTCGGCAGCTTTCAAGTGGACTATCCTCATAGTCATATAAGCATACATATTAGGGAAACCCACAGAGCAAGAGTCTAGAGGCTATCACCAGAAAATGCCCAAAAGAAGGTGGATAGTTAATCTAACCATCCTAAGAAACTTGAGGTAAGCAACAATCATAGCACATTGTCTGGAAGTCAATCAATCTTGCCTTGATTTGCTGGCAAGCCCCTAACCCTAACGGGCAGGTAAGCAAGCACTGCAACACTTGTTCTTCCTAGCTAAGTCATGCCATTGTTTTCAGTTAATTTTTTAACGGAAATTGTGAGAAAATAACTGTGTCTTGCTTTAAACCACAGTTTTTCCTAAAATGTTCTTAAAATTAGAAGAAAATTAATACAACATTCGGAATCACAAACTATGTTCAATCATCTTTGATGTAAATCCAACTTGTCTCGTTTTGAGCCACGGTCATTGTTTTTCATGTACATTCAGTTAAAATACCTGTGACTTGTTCTCATCTACAGGCATAAAGAGAAAATTTGTAGCAACCTAAAATAAAAAAACTAGGGACTCTGTTCAACTATCCAAACATGTCTTATATAAACACAGTCTCATTCTTTTATTCCTTTCATGAAATCATTTGTTGAGCCAGTTTACCCACATAACCTCACAGTCTTTCTTGATTTTGAGAGTAACTTTAGCAGCATCTCTTATTGTCAAATGATTTTAGCTCTCTGTTACTCTCCAAAACTTTCTGTAAAAAAAGTTCCCAATATTGGGAAGAGAGCTGTTTGGTGCTTGCTTTGTAGGCATCAATGCAGGAGTTGGATCCCCAAACCCACTTAAAAAATCTAGAAATTGTGCTGTGTTTCTGTGATTCCAACACTGAGAATGTTGAGAAGAGTGGGGTTCTGGGCTCTGCTCTAATTGAGCTCAAGTCCCAAGGGAAACCTTGGCTATTCTCCACACTCTCTGTTTAAGGAATGCCCTGGTGAAAGTATTTTGAAGAAAGAATGAGGTTGTCCTCTAACTTCTAAGTGCATAAATGAACATATGCATGTATTCAAACATACATACACAACAAAAATTAAAGTAATACACAAGAACTTTAATTTCACTGAGGACATGCATATAGATGAACACTTGAAATTGTAAATAATGAAAGGACATGATAGTCTTCCTTATAATTTCAATTAATCATAGCTAAGACAAAAATAACAAGACCTATCATAAAAAGTACAGTGATCATGCTGAGGTATCAGAATTTGTTTTAGTACACTGTATAAGTCTTCTTTAGAGCAAGGCTGTTGATAAGATGAAGAGACAATTACAAGCCAAATCCTACATACCCGTAAATTCTTAATTTGCAGTGTTCCTTGTTCCTGGATCGTTGCTCTTGGATCTCTACCCAGAAAAGTGAAGCCCTCCTTTAGCCAGCTAATGACAGGAAGAGGGTCTCCAGTGGCTTTACATTTCAGTAAAGCTGTACCATCTACTGCAAGTGTTTGGTTTATTGGTCCTTGCAGGATTATTGGTGGAGGTCTATCTGTCAAAACTAAAAGGTAAACACATATTCAGGAAATTTAGACTTCTATGACACTCGGCAGTCATGATATATTGACATTGAATGGCAATAGTCAACACCTAAAGCATGTTACAATTGTTTATAATGTACATAGTCTTTTCAATATCTATATTTTCCAACCATATACATTGGATACATATCTACATATATTGCATAAAGACCATACTATTGTCTTAACTTACTGTGCATTCATTATAATTAAAATGATTTGAGGATAAATTTTGACATTTTAGGAAGATTAAATTGTATTGAAGAGCTTAGTCACAATGAAATTAAAGTAAAAATATAGGTAGGTTCTAGCTGTTAATCGTAAATTGTTCATTTATTGTTCATAGACATACTTTTTAAAAATTATGTGACATATTGAATGTAAGACTAATCATTTTTCTTTTTGTTATAAATACATGTGCATTATATAAATTAGTATTCATAGCAGCTGTTGAATGCTATATTTACATAGACTGATGTGTTTTGTGCAAGAAAAACATTAAAACTTAAGTAATTTATATGCAAAATCATGCCATTCGGTCTTTAAACTATAGTCATGTCATTTGAATGAGTTCACTGAGTAGATACATACAGATAAGAAGAAGAAATTAGTCAGCTAGAATGTATGGCATGACTAAATTCACACAATGAGTATTTACATTCAGCATAATGTCACAGAGTTCTAGCACAGTGTGTTTCCTTGTTTATGAAACATCGTCTTATAAAATAATATTCATTTTTTAAGAAATATTTCAAATGATATAAAATTTAATGTCTGACATGGTAGAAAAACAAAATTAGTTGAATATTATGTTTCTTTAAGAATTCACCAGATTATCACAAAATCAGTATGATATGCTCAATTAAAAATAATAACTTTTGCCGGGCGATGGTGGCGCACGCCTTTAATCCCAGCACTTGGGAGGCAGAGGCAGGCGGATCTCTGTGAGTTCGAGACCAGCCTGGTCTACAGAGCGAGTTCCAGGACAGGCTCCAAAGCCACAGAGAAACCCTGTCTCGAAAAACCAAAATAATAATAATAATAATAATAATAATAATAATAATAACTTTTAGAAAGGAAATATCTATAGTAGGATAGACAACACATATTTTTGTTTGTTATAAGTTTGTATACTTTCTTTTTCTATATTGTACATGTAACCATGCATGTTTACCTAGATGGATAAATACATATATATATATATATATATATATATATATATATATATATATACGCAATGTATGAACAAGCACACAGTGTATCTTAATGAAATCATATTAAATGCATAATATATGCAAATACTTGATAAGGACCAAACAGTTGTAATTGAACTGAAATCAGGCCATAGGTCCCTATATGTAAGGATGGATGCTCTGACTTCGGAGCAACATGTACCTATGATTCCAATTACTTAAAACCTACAAAAAAACAGACCACAATGATTTACTTGTAACAAACCCAAATTACAACCTCTTGTTTTATCTGTTTTTCTTATATTTAGGAGTAAATAAAATAATTTAATTGAATAAGGATGCATAGCATTATAGTAATTGTAGCAGATCTGAAAATAACTGGACAAATGGAAGCTTAATGGAAAGGCTTACAGGTTTTCAAGTTAAATTCAAGTCATAAAGCATTATAAATAATTATATAATCAAGGGAGAAAATGTGTCTTCATTACCCAAGTAAAATGTGTTTATCAAATTTTAAATGCCGTGGCCTATCTGTTCCAGGTTAAATCGCGATGTCAAATTCACAGTAATTTCTTATAACCTGCTTTTATTGTCCTATTTCTGACATCATCAGACACAACTAAAGGTCAACTAATTAGAATCCCCGTCTTTGTGGCACACCTAAATAAGTAGCTTATTGCCTTTTGAATGACTCCAATCAATAAGGTAATTGAAAATCTCCCGGCTAGAAGGAATTTCAGTGGCAGGGATGTTATATCTGGAAGATGACCACAGCTTTCCATGACACCGAAGTCAAAGGTTAAATGAACATTTAGGATTTTCACTGATCTGTGAAGAACTCTGTGGTCTTCTTTAACTACACATTATAAATCCTTAGTAAAACATTCAGATAAGGCCACAGTGTGACATTTATTGTCAACATAAAGTGGAAAATGTATTTTATTTCTCTGGGCTTTTTACATGCTATTGGCTTTACCCATAGAGTGGTCATTACAAATTTTTTAATTTGGAGTAAAAACATTGGAGAATCAAAGAAGTGAACTTACTTCAAATTAATCATATGTAAGGATATAAATATATTTTATATATTTAAAACAAGAATATATTAAATACTTTGGTCCAAATGTCTTATTTTTCAAACATATGTCTAGACATTTTTTGTGGTACAAAACATGAGAAATTTTAAAGCCATTATCTTTTATTCTGATAAAAAAAAATATGGTAGCCCAGAGGATCAAAGATCTTGCCCTCTAGAGAAGCCTTGCTCATCAGAGTTACCCTTGAACTGGGCTTCTTCCTCAATTCTAGGGCAACAAGTTCATGTACAGCTCCAGCAGGTACAGCCCACAGCCTCAGCCTCTCTCTAGACAGTGTCTGTCTGTGCTGCCCAGCCATGCACCATTTCTGGTACAGTGCTAAATTGAGCCTTGCCATAGATAGATATTAAAAGATATTGTCTTTCTATTAATTTAAATGGCTTTTAAACTGCATGTGTATTTGGAGTATAGGAAAGCACAATGACTTTCACCAGAATAACAGAAAGAAAATCTTAGAGTATGCAGATCAAGAACCCGGTATCTCAGAAACTACCCTAAAGAAGAAAAAAAAAAGCCAAAAATAAGGCAAAATCTCATAAAAATATAACAAAAATGAATAATTTTTAATTTAAGACGTCAATGATTGGGAAAAATTCATGTTCACAGCTGACACATTATCTAAATCCGCCAAGCTATCAAGTGCAATAAATAAACGATTGGTGAAAAACTCAGATCCTTTTCAACTTTTAGTAGAAATTAAAACTCAAAGTATAAATGTGCAAGTATAAAAATAATAATTTTAGCATTCATTACTATTTCAGAATGTTATTAATTAATTTAAGTTAGTGAGTGTATAATTAAAGTTGGAAGCATATAATATGATTAGCTAACTAAAATCTCATTTCTGTTTACTGATAAATTTAAAGATGATATTTCCTATATTTCAGTCAAATAAAAGCATTAATAGCTATTAGAAGCAACCATTCAGGAAAACATTCAATTAAAACATCCAGATGACATTTGTAAACACAATGAGTCACATTACTTGTTTAAAATAATGTACCACTGCAAATTTTAATGCTCTAAATAGCTGTCTTTAAGATTCTCTTTTTTGTGGGGGATGGGTGGTATAAAATCAGAGAGAATTAAAAACTATTAACAATTATTACTTTACTTATGTAAATGATATATACTTGCTAAGGCAAAGATATTCTGCAGACACCGATACAAATGATTCAACAACTCAAGAGTCTCCAAGCCTGATGTGTATATCTAAATATAAACATTATACTCATGAGAAAACTCGTGATAAATCTCACCATCGGTAACCTCCAACTGCGCTTTAGCTAAGATGCTTCCTGCCACTGTTAAGGCCTGACAGATGTAGTATCCTGCATCTGAACGCTGGATGTTGGTGATGGTGAGGTCTCCAGAGGGGGACACTGAACTCCGGCTAGTGGGTTGCTGAGGTTGGTTTGGGAAAAGCAGGTTCTGTGGGGAAGAAAAAAAAATAAGACGAAACACAGACTCTTCAGTGCTTCTCTCTCCGCAAGGAAAGTCACATTAACAACAACTACAACACTGTTGGCATACGGTTGGAAAACTAGAACTTAGAGACTTAAAAACACATAGTATTGAAATTATTGTGTGTACCACAGTGAGTTTTACTGGAAAGTCAGCATGATGTAGCTGGAGGAACAATCGTCTGTGCTTCTTAAAATTCAGTACTTTTTAAATTTAAATTTGGATTTGGACATCATTCTTACAGTTTTATAGTCCACTGTATCGTTTTTCAGCACACAGATCTGAAAGATATTGACCTTATCAGGGTCATTAACATTACTATATATCAACTATTTACACCCTAATGTTTCCTAGTTAAATATTTCATCTTTGAAATCTAGTGCTCACAATTAAAATAAACATACGAAATACTATTCTGATGCCCGAGTTCCAAGACACCGTAAGGATGTTGACTGTAATGATAAGTAGGGATGTAGTTTATAAGCTGGACAATGACAAGCAATGCCAAATACCATTGTTGTTGACCAATTTGAATATGTCAGGACAAGTGCTAATGCACACTGACTAAGGGTGGCTTCTGTTTTTGTGAAAAGTTTTCCATTGTAAGCTATAGTAGATTCCAAAAGAACTATGAAAAAAAGAGACAATTTAAGCAAGGTGAAGTAACTTGTTTAAAATAATAGAGACTATGGCATGGCTCTGAAAGTGCCACATGAATCTCCTATGACCTTCATAGTGTTACTTTCTTCTAAAAACTGTTTGCTGCCCTCTCCATTAAAGCCTGACACACACCTCAGACAGCTCAAACACGAGAACTCAAAGTTCGTCCATGAGAACAGGATCATTAATTTGGATGACCTATGATGCTTTACTGTTGTTCAATTAAGAAAAACATGTGGCTACAATAAATCATACTGAGGTATGTTTCTAGCTGCATTATAAATAATGGCATATCAATTTTTATGTTGTATTTACTTACAAAAAAGAACATTAGAACCCTCTGGGATCTGTTTGCAATATAGTAATTAATTTTCCAGGTTTGTAATTAAACAATTTCAATAAGTTGAAATCTGAAGGTAATAACATTCAATGAAAGGCACAAGACACATTTTCACCTTAAAATATTTTTACCCTTGAAGTAATGCCAGTGGAAGAGGATAAAATGGGGTATTAACACTTTTCAATTACGCTAAATGACTTTAATCCAGCAAATGATGTCCTACTTTAATTAGAAGCTCTTCTCTTTATTGCGACATGATGGATGTCCACTTTATTAGATTCAAGTGTGACACTATAAGCCCACTTTACATAAACATTACCATGCTATTAAATGCTGTCTAAAAGGAGCAATGTTTGCCAGCATATCAGCAATATAATTTAAAAATGTTGTTGCCCTCTTCTCAAAGTTATTTTACTACACAACACTAGGCATTTTCATATACTTGAAAGATAATTTGAGAACAAACTAAATCTCCTGTGGAACCAAATATAATACAGATATAAGCCATCGACAAGAGAAGGGCCTAAAATTTAAGCGCAATTGAAAATGATACAATGTGCACTTTTCAACGATTAGCCATTAGAATACTAATTTACATTGCACTAATCCATCAGAGGGCCTAATTGTCCCAGGATCTCTTCCTCTTCAGTGGAATATCATTCTACCTTCTAAATGACTTGTTGACATGGAAAGTGGCATTTGATTGAGTTGAATCCATCATCTGTATTCCCAGGTTGTATGACACAGGCAAAAGTAATGGATTACAAGTCAAGCTCAGGAACTCTGCAGAGCCCTGGAAGTGTTTGAGCATCTTATTAATACTAATTGGCATTATCATCTCACATTGAAGAATATGGACCATTAAGTCTAGGCTCGCAGTTCTTTCGACTGATGGATAGGGACAGATCACTATAAAAATTGAATACCGGAAGCAGGAAGATATTTTGATATGTCTCAATTCAATGAATTTTGGTAATGTCAATTAATTGAATGGAAATTTACAGCTTGTTCAAATATTTCATCTTTATCCTTATTCACTTATTCTCTCTTTTTTCACTCCCTTGGCAGAGATATTGGTGAAAGAAATAAAATTATATCTAATATTATAAACAAATCACCATACCTAATGAGAAAATTTATGTAAGATTATTAACAATATCTCTAGAATTAAATTTCACTTTGTCAAACAATACAGAAGGAATACTTAAATTCTCTTGAAAATTACTTTTCAAAGTCACTGATGATTGTGTTAAATACTCTCTGTTGATTGGACTAGATTACCAGCGTACATTTTAACTTGTGTTATATATTAGGGATGAAATTTGTAGGTTTATGAAATTATTTTAACTTATATCTTTAATTAGGAAAAGGACATGTTTCTTTTAACATTTTTATAATTCAACCTGAAGTAAACTTTTTTTTTATTTCAGAATTACTGAACTAAAATAAAAATTAAACTGAAATTAACTCCTGAGGAGAAATTCATCCCGTGCAGTTTTCAGAAAGCGTGTCACTATCAACTGTGGACGTTTAGAGAGATTCCATTACCCCCTCCCCCAACTTCTTTCAGAAGTTGGAGTGGCAAGTGAACATGCTGAGAAAAAGCACTGAGTGCTTCTTTTTGAGAAGTATGTGCCTTGTTGAGTTATTTATAGCACCGTCAGAATGAACACACAGCTCATTTCAAAAGGAATGTGCAGACAAGTTCGCAGGCTAAGTTTCTTAATTTCTCATCTACATCAAGATGGAAATTTGTATTCCCTCAATCAAGAAGCTAAACCCTTCTTTATAGTCTATCCAAATTTTACTTGAGACGAATAATGTACCCAGCTGAGTTTTCCGAATGACAGTGATAGATGTTTTTGCTCAGAAGGATCACAGCAAAGACAAGATAACTGTTCCCCATATAAAATGTGTTGTTTCCTGTGCAGAAGGGGAAAAAGGAAGAAAAGACTTCTTCCACCTTTAAATGGAAGTGTGCTTAAGTCTATAATTTTTTTATATTGCCCAAACATGGGGAGGGGGGTTGAAAGTAGATTCAGTCGCAATTAATATTGAATTTTCAAGAAGCCATTTCATTTCTTTTGTGCCAAGGACTGTTTGTTCTAGGCACTTCGTATGTGATACAATTAATCATAACATGCAACTGAATGCAACAAGGCAACATGACCTTTGCCATCAGAAATTTTAAATAGGTCGGGGCTCAAACTATTTTATTTCTCTTTTGTGTTATAGACAGGGTTTAAAAAATAACACTGGCAAATGAAGAGTGCTGTGTTGGATCACTTGACATCCAGTTATTTCAGAAGGATTTCTTTCTTAGAAACAAAATCCAGTGAGCATTGATAGCAGAGGAGATGAGGCAAGCTCTGAGGGTCACTGAGAGGAGAGGTCCAGAGATGTCACAAAAGCAGTTATGCCCCCACTCACCTGGCTGCCTTCTTTCTGCCAAAAAACAGCTGGCTGTGGGTTTCCTTTCGTTTCACAGGGGAATGTCACTGTCCGGCCCTGCGCAACAATCTGATCTCTTGGCCTAACCACAAACTGTGGAGGAGCTAGAATTTGAAAGGAAAGAAAGTGTAAATATCAACTTTCAACAACAATGAAAAAGATATCAAAGAGAAAAATCAGGTCCTCCGTGAGTGACTCAGAGACGAAGCTGGGCTCCGTGTCTTTACTTACTTTCGTGGATTTCTATCAACACAAAGGAAAAGAAAGAGCACACTCTAAAACGTGAGGAAAGAAGCAAGGTTATTAGCACACATACTCTAAATACTATGCGTTATCGTCCTACGTCCTAAACATTTGCTTAGAAAAATAGTCTCCTCATGTTTCTAACATTCTCAAGAAAAAAAAATGTACTTTTCAGTTTAGATGTGTATTGTGAATGGATCAAGACGAAAAAGGGTCAGCATCTTAAACAACTATCTCCTTCCTCAAAAGTCAAAGTATTAGCACACACAAATTTATAATGTTTAGGGGATATTTCTGAGACATAGAAATAACTAGAAGGTCTAAAGTTTGATCCAGATTCTCATCAAGCACTTGAACAATCGAGGCTTGGCAGGTAGCACTGAGATACTTGAGAGATGGGGACTACATACAAAGGTAGAACTAGTAGTATAAACGTGAGATATTTGAGAGATGGGGATTACATACAAAGGTAACTAGTAGTGTAAACATGAGATACTTGAGAGATGGGGACTACATACAAAGGTAACTAGTAGTGTAAACATGTGCACTGAAACAGTTGTTTTTGTTGTTGTTTTTGATTAACCTTAGTTCAGTAAGCAGTAGTCAGGCAAAGGTATGTTCTCCTACTGGGCACTATTAAGTTAGAGATGAGAAGCTAAAGGAGTTCATAGCCTTGAGAACCAAATATCAATGAAATTTGATGATGACACAAAGAAAGCACACCTAACAATGAGGAAGAATGTGATGAATACATGGGGGCTTCTCAGAGCACCTTAGAAGAACACGTCAATTATATCGCAAATAGCAAATGTAACAAGACACGAGAGAGGAATCTCCTGTATTATAGCATTTTTGAAAAAAATCTTTGCATAGAAAATGAGCATTATAATAATATTGAGTGAAAAGCAGCATTGGACAGTGGAATGATCAACACTTTCTAAGTCATGAGCTCACTGAAGAAGGTAGACCCAAAATCACAGCTACCACAACAATGCAGTAGGAGAAGAGTAAAAGGTTAAAATTATTAGTGTGTCTTAGAAATGAAGGATCATGCCACACTGCCAACTCTACTGTGGATATTTCTAATCTGAATGACAGCTGCAAAATGAACGCTCCAGAGGCTTCAGCATTTGTATGAAGATGGTAATGTTGGCATGAGGAATATTTATTCAGTAGGGTAATACATACAGTAAAGAGGCCAGCAGAATGGTGTGGATAAAGGTAAAAATCCAAAGAATGAGTAACTCCTTTAGAAAAAGAAAGAGATGGGAAAAAATCTTAGTGGTGCTCAGAATTAAAGGGGTCTAATGATAGAGAGAAATATGAGGGGCACTGAGGATATCCAGACAGTTCCATAAGGACATCTTCACACCAAGCATCTCCATGGAGAACATTGCCCTTATCCAAGAACTTTTAGAATAACTGTAAGTAGTTATTCAGGCTAGAAATTGAAACCAAACAAACAGCTTTAAACAAGCTTTAATTTGTACAGCCTGGTATATAAAGAAAAATCCTAAAAGCTGGAGTCTGGAGAATTGTAACAATATGCAGTGTCCAAGAAGAGTAAAATTCAAATAGTTATTAGAACAAAATAGCCCCACATAAACATAGAATCTAGTATACCTATCACAAATTCTACATGTTCTGCATATATAACATCATTTCCTCAAAGGGAAAAAATCAATAATAATTGTTTGGGCATAAATTTGTATTCAATTATAGTTCTTCTTTATTCAACCCATCTAACACACAGTTTGGAGACAGAAGGAAATAAATTTCCTAACTTAGACAATTCTTTAAATTAAGATGATGGCAGACTCACTCCAAGAGCATGAAATTACAAGATATTTACCATGAAAAATGACATTTTATACTGGATTATCTATATTTTGCCATTTTCTATAATAAATATGTATTTTAAGAAATATGTAAGACTCAGTGTATAAGTATTTGCTTTTGTAAACACAAGAAAGAAAAATAATAGTGCCAACAAGCATATTACCTTCATGAGAATTGTAATGTAGTTTAGCTTGTACATTCTTTGCAGACTTTAAAAACTCACTTCAATCAAAATCAGAAACTTTTCAACATAAGCCACATATTCAACACCTTTGTCATGTGACCTGCTTGATGTGCGAAAGACTTCAAAATGTCCCAAATAAATACTAGTACAAACTGTAGGAGCTCTAAGTAGTACTGTTTTATTTGATTTTTAAACTATAATAAACAATATATTACATGATATATCATCAAATAAGAATGTGCAAGAGGATATTATATTATTTATTTATTTTGATAAAATTACTATAACTACTTGAGGTATTTCTATAGATTTCCTAAATTTTACTTCCATACTTAAAAAAAAAATCTTTGTATTTTTTAAGACAGGGTTTCCCTGTGTAACAGTCCAGACCAGCCTGGAACTCCCTTTTTAGACCAGGCTGGCCTCAAACTTATAGAGCTCCACCTGCCCTTAGCTTCTTAGTGCTGTGATTTAAGGCGTGTGCCACCACTGCTTGACTTAAAAATAAATCTTTTTAAAATTGTATTTTCTATTATTCATGTGTATATGCATGTACTACTTAAATTTTTGGGCATATGCATTCATATACCCATGAAAGGTAGAGGCCAGAATAGGTTATCAGGTCCTTTCAAACTACAGTTATAGGTAGATGTAAGCCACCAGATGTTTGGTGCAGCAAACCAAAATTGGGTCCCTTTTTTGTTTGTTGGTTTTTGTGGTGAATGTTTATTTAAAACATTTTTAAGTCTTTATCCTACAACTTGGTTGCAGCTCTTTTTTTTGTTTTGTTTTGTTTTGTTTTGTTTTTGTTTTTGTTTTTGTTTTTCGAGACAGGGTTTCTCTGTGGTTTTGGAGCCTGTCCCGGAACTAGCTCTTGTAGACCAGGCTGGCCTAGAATTCCCAGAGATCCGCCTGCCTCTGGCTCCTGAGTGCTGGGATTAAAGGTGTGTGCCACCACCGCCCGGCCGGTTGCAGCTCTTGAAACCTAATTCCCCCCAATAATGACAAACAAACTACTACACCAGACATTTACCCTCTGAGAAGACACAATTCATGTCCTCATTTATCCTACTTTTTAACTGGTTCCAATCTCTCAGACGGTCTGTCTGGTACCTAGGATGGGAAGTAATTATAAGAAGGCTCTTGATCAATAGCCTTGATACTGATAAACATATAAATGAACATAGCAGAGTGTGATTCTTGAAGCAGTCATTGTTGTTGTTTTGTTTTGCCTTGTTTCTTTATGCAGTACTTAGGAGGTGAAGGCACCTTGATCTCTTTGTGAGTCTGAGGACATCCTGGACTATATAGAGAGTTTCAGGACAGCCAAGGTGACATAGTGACACTCTGTCTAAAGACCAAACCCTGCAGAAGACACTTGGAGAAAAGATCAGAAAAGCACTGAAGAATACACACAATGAGGAAAGAAGGGTACTACCACAGGACACCTATGTTTGAGCTGTGTTCCAAGATTGATGGGCAGTAGTGAGGTCACTAGGCATGGAGGAAATCAGCACAGAAGGCAGGGAACTGTGGAGCTGTAATCTCTGGATGGGATTTAAGAGTCTAAAGGACCTAGCATAGTGAGCTGACTATAGATAGGCCTGGATAATTTACACTAAAGGAGTTTAAGCTTTTGCCCTGAAAAAAAAAAGTATTCAAAAATATTTTGACAATGAATAAACCAGATTTGCCTTTAGAATGACTCTTTTGGAAGCAATCTGGATAGAGATTGGGCACACTGATTAGATAAGCAGAGAGAGGCAAAGGTCTAAAAAACCTTAGAATGTTGGAATAGAACATCCAGGTAGAAATTGTGCTATATGGGGGCACCCAAAGGTGCCATTATCACTTAAACAAAATATTTTTCCATACTGGAGCACAACAGTTATTCCTGGTGGTATTATCTAAAAAGAATAGGAAATTATAATTTCCTGAACTTTAACTCTGTAAAAAAACGACTATCAAATGATTTATTGGTACTATTCATAAAACAAGCCTTGTATAAGATATTTAGTCACGATAATTTTTTTTCTAAGTTGTATTAGTTAGCTACACTTCTAGTGATTCTAATCATTTCCTGTTTCTTGAACTCAATTCATTGGTCTCAATGGATCTGCCATCGTCTTAGCATTATCTTATATCATAAAATGTTAAATCATTTAGCACAGCAAAATTCAAAGAATTCTTGAGTCTTTGAAAATGTCTGACCTATTGTCACCTAAAGTCTGGACAAGAGAAAAAATTAGAACAATCACTTTTTCTCTGGTAGACTTCTGGCCAATGATCTATATTGCAATTTCTGTAAGGGAAGATTGGCTGTAGAAATTTATTTGGGGGAGGTACTAAAATGAAAAATGACATCAATAACTCTTCTGGTAACACTCCACAGTATCAGTATTTCTATCAGGTGGTATCAAAGATGGTTTAAAAAAAAAGTGTGTCTGTGATGGCACCAGTGGGAGGGAGCAGCCAAAGGAGGCATTCCATCAACAGAACACAATTACAAAGTGTGGTGTATATAAAATGGATTCTGAGAGGGCTCTCATTAAATATAAGAAACAGAGTTAGACTCTCAAGATGGCCATTCAAAACCCACATTTAAACCCAAAGGAAATTACAAAAAAAAAAAAATGAGTTAAATGAGTTGTAAACTCCAGAGGAATTTACTCATTAGAAAAATGGCAATTTTACTACATGTCTTTAAGATAAAAACTATGAAAAACATATTTCTATTCTCTAAACCTGGAAACATTTGAAATTTTTCTTCCAATTATGATGCACTAATATACTTGCTAAATCTGCCAGGTGATTATATCTTATTGCTATGCCTGCAAG